GTATACTATGACGTTTTTTGGTGTTTTTATGCCTTGCTATCCTATGACGTTTTTTGACGTTTTTATGCCTTACTATACCATGACATTCTTATGTCTACCTATATTATGACGTTTTTTGATGTTTTTAGGCCTCATCTTAATATGACATTTTTTGACATTTTATGCCTTAGTATACTATGATGTTTTTTGGTGTTTTTATGTCTTGCTATCCTATGACGTTTTTTGACGTTTTTATGCCTTACTATACTATGATGTTTTTTGACGTTTTTATGCCTTATTATACTATGATGTTTTCTCACATTTTTATGCCTTAATATACTATGACGTTCTTTGATGTTTTTATGCCTCATTATACCATGAAATTATTATGTCTACCTATATTATGACGTTTTTTGGTGTTTTTATGCCTCATTGTAACATGACATTTTTTGACATTTTATGCCATAGTATACTATGACGTTTTTTGGTGTTTTTATGCCTTACTATACTATGACGTTTTTTGATGTTTTTATGCCTCATTATACCATGATATTCTTATGTCTTTCTATACTATGACGTTTTTCATGTTTTTATGCCTCATTGTAATATGACATTTTTTGACATTTTATGCCATAGTATACTATGACGTTTTTTGGTGTTTTTATGCCTTGCTATCCTATGACGTTTTTTGACGTTTTTATGCCTTGCTATACCATGACATTATTATGTCTACCTATATTATGACGTTTTTTGATGTTTTTGTGCTTCATTGTAACATGACATTTTTTGACATTTTATGCCATAGTATACTATGACGTTTTTTGGTGTTTTTATGCCTTACTATACTATGACGTTTTTTGATGTTTTTATGCCTCATTATACCATGATATTCTTATGTCTTTCTATACTATGACGTTTTTCATGTTTTTATGCCTCATTGTAATATGACATTTTTTGACATTTTATGCCATAGTATACTATGACGTTTTTTGGTGTTTTTATGCCTTACTATACTATGACGTTTTTTGATGTTTTTATGCCTCATTATACCATGACATTCTTATGTCTACCTATATTATGACGTTTTTTGATGTTTTTATGCCTCATTGTAATATGACATTTTTTGACATTTTATGCCATAGTATACTATGACGTTTTTTGGTGTTTTTATGCCTTGCTATCCTATGACGTTTTTTGACGTTTTTATGCCTCACTATACCATGACATTATTATGTCTACCTATATTATGACGTTTTTTGATGTTTTTATGCCTCATTGTAACATGACATTTTTTGACATTTTATGCCATAGTATACTATGACGTTTTTTGGTGTTTTTATGCCTTGCTATCCTATGACGTTTTTTGACGTTTTTATGCCTTGCTATACCATGACATTATTATGTCTACCTATATTATGACGTTTTTTGATGTTTTTATGCCTCATTGTAATATGACATTTTTTGACATTTTATGCCATAGTATACTATGACGTTTTTTGGTGTTTTTATGCCTTGCTATCCTATGACGTTTTTTGACGTTTTTATGCCTTGCTATACCATGACATTATTATGTCTACCTATATTATGATGTTTTTTTATGTTTTTATGCCTCATTGTAATATGACATTTTTTGACATTTTATGCCATAGTATACTATGACGTTTTTTGGTGTTTTTATGCCTTGCTATCCTATGACGTTTTTTGACGTTTTTATGCCTTGCTATACCATGACATTATTATGTCTACCTATATTATGACGTTTTTTGATGTTTTTATGCCTCATTGTAATATGACATTTTTTGACATTTTATGCCATAGTATACTATGACGTTTTTTGGTGTTTTTATGCCTTGCTATCCTATGACGTTTTTTGACGTTTTTATGCCTTGCTATACCATGACATTATTATGTCTACCTATATTATGACGTTTTTTGATGTTTTTATGCCTCATTGTAATATGACATTTTTTGACATTTTATGCCATAGTATACTATGACGTTTTTTGGTGTTTTTATGCCTTGCTATCCTATGACGTTTTTTGACGTTTTTATGCCTCACTATACCATGACATTATTATGTCTACCTATATTATGACGTTTTTTGATGTTTTTATGCCTCATTGTAATATGACATTTTTTGACATTTTATGCCATAGTATACTATGACGTTTTTTGGTGTTTTTATGCCTTGCTATCCTATGACGTTTTTTGACGTTTTTATGCCTCACTATACCATGACATTATTATGTCTACCTATATTATGACGTTTTTTGATGTTTTTATGCCTCATTGTAATATGACATTTTTTGACATTTTATGCCATAGTATACTATGACGTTTTTTGGTGTTTTTATGCCTTGCTATCCTATGACGTTTTTTGACGTTTTTATGCCTTGCTATACCATGACATTATTATGTCTACCTATATTATGACGTTTTTTGATGTTTTTATGCCTCATTGTAATATGACATTTTTTGACATTTTATGCCATAGTATACTATGACGTTTTTTGGTGTTTTTATGCCTTGCTATACTATGACGTTTTTTGACGTTTTTATGCCTCACTATACCATGACATTATTATGTCTACCTATATTATGACGTTTTTTGATGTTTTTATGCCTCATTGTAACATGACATTTTTTGACATTTTATGCCATAGTATACTATGACGTTTTTTGGTGTTTTTATGCCTTGCTATCCTATGACGTTTTTTGACGTTTTTATGCCTCACTATACCATGACATTATTATGTCTACCTATATTATGACGTTTTTTGATGTTTTTATGCCTCATTGTAATATGACATTTTTTGACATTTTATGCCATAGTATACTATGACGTTTTTTGGTGTTTTTATGCCTTGCTATCCTATGACGTTTTTTGACGTTTTTATGCCTTGCTATACCATGACATTCTTATGTCTACCTATACTATGACGTTTTTTCATGTTTTTATGCCTCATTGTAATATGACATTTTTGACATTTTATGCCATAGTATACTATGACGTTTTTTGGTGTTTTTATGCCTTACTATACTATGACGTTCTTTGATGTTTTTATGCCTCATTATACCATGACATTATTATGTCTACCTATATTATGACGTTTTTTGATGTTTTTATGCTTCATCGTAACATGACATTTTTTGACATTTTATGCCATAGTATACTATGACGTTTTTTGGTGTTTTTATGCCTTGCTATCCTATGATGTTTTTTGATGTTTTTATGCCTTGCTATACCATGACATTATTATGTCTACCTATATTATGATGTTTTTTTTATGTTTTATTGCCTCATTGTACTATGACATTTTTTGACATTTTATGCCATAGTATACTATGACGTTTTTTGGTGTTTTTATGCCTTACTATACTATGACGTTCTTTGATGTTTTTATGCCTTGCTATACCATGACATTATTACGTCTACCTATATTATGATGTTTTTTTATGTTTTTATGCCTCATTGTAATATGACATTTTTTCACATTTTATGCCATAGTATACTATGACGTTTCTTGGTGTTTTTATGCCCTACTATACTAGGACATTTTTTGATGTTTTTATGCCTCATTATACCACGACGTTCTTATGTCTACCTATACTATGACATTTTTTGACATTTTATGCCATAGTATACTATGACGTTTTTTGGTGTTTTTATGCCCTACTATACTAGGACATTTTTTGATGTTTTTATGCCTCATTGGAATATGACATTTTTTCACATTTTATCCCATAGTATACTATGACGTTTTTTGGTGTTTTTATGCCCTACTATACTAGGACATTTTTTGATGTTTTTATGCCTTGCTATACTATGACATTATTATGTCTACCTATACTATGACATTTTTCATGTTTTTATGCCTCATTGTAATATGACATTTTTTGACATTTTATGCCATAGTATACTATGACGTTTTTTGGTGTTTTTATGCCTTCCTATCCTGTGACGTTTTTTGATGTTTTTATGCCTCACTATACCATGACATTGTTATGTCTACCTATATTATGACGTTTTTTGATGTTTTTAGGCCTCATTGTAATATGACATTTTTTCACATTTTATGCCATAGTATACTATGACGTTTTTTGGTGTTTTCATGCCTTGCTATCCTATGACGTTTTTTGACGTTTTTATGCCTTGCTATACCATGACATTATTATGTCTACCTATATTATGACGTTTTTTGATGTTTTTATGCCTCATTGTAATATGACATTTTTTGACATTTTATGCCATACTATACTATGACGTTTTTTGATTTTTTTATGCTATACTATACTATGACGTTTTTTGACGTTTTTATGCCTTACTATACTATGATGTTTTTTGACGTTTTTATGCCTTATTATACTATGATGTTTTCTCACATTTTTATGCCTTAATATACTATGAAGTTTTTTGACGTTTCTATGCCTTGCTCTACTATGACATTTTAATGCCTTAATATACTATGACATTTCTTTGATGTTTTTATGCCTTACTATACTATGACATTTTTTGACATTTCTATGCCTTAGTATCCTATGTCATTGCATGTCTTTCCATACTGTGACGTTTTTTTTTTTACATTTTTATGCCTTACTATACCGTGACGTTTTTATGCCTTACTATATTATGACGTTTTTGTTTACCTTTTTTTGCCTTACTATCCTATTACGTTTTATGACATTTTTATGCCTCAGTATACTATGACGTTTTTATGCCTTACTATACTATGATGTTTTTTTTACCTTTATTTGCCTCACTTTCCTATGACGTTTTATGACATTTTTATGTCTCAGTATACTATGACTTTTTTTCACATTTTTATGCCTTACTACACTATGACGTTTTATACCTTACTATACTATACTACACTATTATTTTTTTTTTATCCCTTATTATACTATGATGTTTTTAACACGTTTTATGCCTCACTATACTATGATGTTTTTATGACGCTTTATGCCTTATCATACTATGACGTTTTTATGCCTTACTATACCCTGACATTTCTATCACTTACCAGGGGTGTTTTTGTGTGGAGCTTGTATGTTCTCCTTATGCCTGTGTGGGTCTTCTCCGGTTACTCCGGCTTCCTCCCGCAATCCAAAGACACAGACATTAGATTCAATGGCCTCTATGACTTTTTTATGCCTTACTACTATGACTTTTTATGCCTTACTACTATGACTTTTTCATGCCTTACTATACTACGCCTTTTCTTTGGCTTAGTATACTATGACTTTTTTTGCCTTATTATACTGACTCTATGACTTACTATAATATGACATTTTAATGCTTCACTATCCTATGACTTTATGTGTTATTACACTGTTACTTTATACCTTACTATACTTTGACATTTTTATGCCTTACTAAACTATCACTTTTTATTCCTTAGTTTACTATAATGTTTTTATGTCTTACTATACCATTACCTATGCCTTGCTATAGTATGACTTTTTTTGCTTTACTATACTATGACCTTATATGTCTTACCATACTATGCCACAAAGATCCACTGTGATATGCAGCATTTTGTGTTATTGGAAACTTTGTGGCTGTGAGGACGAGCACAATAGAAATCTTTCAGAGCAGTTGAACAGCTTCTCCCCACTCTGTGTGATGTCACTCACTCTAGTTGTGAACATTCCGCCACATACACACCCATTTAAAAACCTGGAAAGGTCCAGAAACGTTGATGAAACTTGTATTTGTGGAAGGCGTTCTATATTTACAGATTATACATTACGCACGGATTGTCGATCTGTTCACACAAATAACATTGCAACAAATCTACCTCTATTGTAATGCAATGATTAAAAGAGGAAAAAACTAAAATCTGAAACAACTAAAGACAAAACTCCACTCACGGCTTCTGACCTTGCAAACGGTGTTTCAGCAGTTAGCAACGCTGCAGAACCTTTGGACACTATCTGGAGCTGTTGGACAAATACTTATTCGCAACGTACAAGTTGCAGCACGCCCCCAAGTTTGGTCACACCCAGATCCTCGTGCTGTGATCAGTGATCAGTGATTGGAGACGGACTGGAGCGAGCAGCAACACCAGAAACCAAAGGCTGAACAAAAACAAACTAAACACGGGAACAATGTGGAATTTACGGAAGAGGATTTGGGCCACATGTGAATATTTTTTACCTTACTATACTTTAAAGTCAGAATTCTGACTTTCCCATAAACATTTTTCTGCATTAGGGCCACATGTGAATTTTCTTTTCTTTTTTCTTTATTTTCTTTTTTTAGAATTCTGACGTTAAACTCAGAATTCTGAGATTTGTAAGTGGATTGTAAATGGAGAAAGTACCGAGAAGATTTAGATCACTTCCTGGCCTCTTTTATTTAATGAATGTTCTCTAACAGGTTCAGTTGGTTACTTGTTCAGCACAGTAGTGGGCGCTGTTTCCCTCCAAAATGATTTTACTTTTTATTTATTCCTTATCTTCTGTCATATATTTATTATACTGCATATATCTTTCTAATGAAATAAAAGCACCTTCTTGTCCATCGAAGGATACGTATAGACAGTATAGATAGTACATTTACTGAAGAACTGCACTTCAGTACAAATCTGAGGTATTTTTACTTTGTTTATATTTCAGAGAGAATTCAAAAAAATGCAGAATTGACTATTGGTGGGATAAAACATCCTTTGTGACGGTGTTTTAATTAACTAACTAACATTAATTAGCAAAATAACCATCAGACTAATCGATAATGAAAATAATCATTAATTGCAGCCCTATACAAAACATCAACCAACTTCTTGGTTATGATCAGGTTTCCCTGTTGTTGCTGCATATGTAAACACCATAATCTGGTTTCAGAAACCTGGATATGGCCTGGATGTGTTACCTGATAAAATCCAGGATACTGTGGCATGTAAACACCTTTACCAGCTTTGTGAACAGTCTCTTTTGTTTAAAATAAGAAGCAGAGATGTTTAGAAATCATGACACACCTGCACACAGATGATCAGAAAATATTAGAGCTATGATCATGTATCATCTGAATATGATAAAAAAAACCTGGTACAATAACATGCATGTGAACACACTGATACTAATCTAATAATATTATAGTGTAAGAAAGTCACTCATATGCGCATTTGTTCGTATTAATTAATCAATTATATACTTTTATTTGAGCAACATTTTAAGTGCAGGACATTTATCTGTAGTGGAGGTTTTTTTTTTTTAACAGTGTATTATTAAAGATCTGAATACTTCCTCCATCCCTCCACTGGTGAGTTTTATTTAAAGCAGTTTTTCATGGCTGTGTTAAACCTGCTGACAGTTCAGGACCAGAGGTAGATTGATTAGAAAATCACAGTGAACATTTATCCAGGACGACGACATATATCCATGCAGGTCTTCCAGCTGACCAGTGAGACATAACGCCAAGCAGTCAAACTGATGTTTTACTCTGTATAAGCTCCACCTAAGAGCATACCATTATATGAGCTCAGCAGAATTAGAATATGACACATTAACCCAAGCATTAGTCAAAGAAGTCACTGTCGATTTCTGATTTTGGTCTTAATACAACTTCAACTTTCTTGTTATAATAACCTCTGAAAACTAAGGACAGACCAACTGATCACACAAAAAACAATACAAAATAAATTGGTATGTTGTAATAACAAATGTAATTTAATTCTAGCACAAGAGATTTTTTTTGATACAAAAAAATGTAAAATACATGATAAATCTTGGTTTTGATTGGAAGATGACTAAGCCTGGTGTTTGTCTTGAGTGTGAATATGAACTAGGCACTGTTATCCAAAATAAACTCTTTCCCTCCTAAAATTACAATTTTATTGTGGTAACACAATTATCTTACATATTGCTTGTATGATGACAGTATGATGATGTAATGTTTAGGGTGTCATACAGATGAGAAAGTAAAAGTCCACACAGTAATAAAATAGTGATAAAAACATTATCTGCAATGGGGTGAATCAACAACATAACACTGCTTTTGCACTACAAGTCCCTACAGGAATATCAAATGAGTAATATGTTGATTTTTTTTTATGCTTTTGCTTCATGTTATAAAAATTTAAAAACTGATCTCTTTAAAATAATTTGATGGCATTTTGTATTTAGTTCCTATGGCACCAAAGGAATGCAGGAGAACTCATATGCATGGAAAGGCACCATGCAGGACCTCCACACACACACATCTGCATCAAGATTCCTCTTTCACTGCCTTGAAGAAGGAGCTGAGGGAGAGTTGTCTGCCTCCATTTTTGGCTGCACCCAGTTTTGTTTTTTTCGAGGCCTGTGGTTTCTTGTCATTTTTTACACCAGTGGCCTTTTTCTTCTTTCCATCCTAAATGAGACGAGCAGAAACAAGTGACATAAGTGACATCTGTTATTAGCATAAGATTATAGGATACGGTGCATTTTTGTAAACGGTTATAAAATGGATAAATATGCCGAGGTGCTTACCTTAGAGGCTTGTTCTTTTTGATTGTCCACAGAATCGTAGAGCTTCACAATCTGCAAGAGAGTTGACATGTTGATCCCATGAACACGTGAACACTCACTCACTCCTGCTTTTTTTAATATCGGTCTGGATATAAACTCAATGACTAGCTGCAACTGAGTTTCACATTCTCTGAAACTGAATTTAATACAATAACCATTATAACCTGTCACTACATCAGCTAAACAGTAGCCGGATACAAGGGAGAATTTAAATAACTGAAATCCTGTAATGTGGCAATATAACTAAATGCAGCATAATGCAGCAGGTGTGTTACATGTCACACACCTGCTGCTCTTTGGGAAATGGTTTATATTTCACTTTACATTTTATTTTAATTAATCTGTTTTTGCCCCATGAAGCATCTGTTTACACCAGAGGAACAGACAGTACCTTTGGTCAAGTAGACTGCTGTTGCAAAAACCATGTTTGTGGTTTGTGATCAATCAAGTTCACTTCAGGTACTGCTATCCTCAATGACACAGCAGGGATTCAACACACACACACAGACAGACAGACACACACACACACAAGCTGTGTAAACAACACACAAACCTTTTTCAGTCCTGTGGACACAGCAGCTTCATGTAGAGCAGATCTGCTCAGCCACTGTGCATTTTCAGTCTGTGTTTGTGTGTCACTGTCCTTCAAACGCACACTGTGAACCACATATGTCTGGTGGATGTGGGAGAAGATGTGAACCACCTGCAAACAGCAGTGCTCCATCAAAGGGTTGTCACGTTCCACATAACGAGTTTATTTGTATGGTAAAGTGGAAAAGCATGGTACTGCTGCTTACCTCTCCGACATACTTGCAGAGGCTCTCAGTCAGAGGAGTTCCCAGTATCCTGCTGATCACAGCACACAGCGCCCTCTTCTGCTTCATCTCAGAGTTCTCCTCCTCCAGCAGAAGACATGGAAACTCCCACAAGCCTGCCAACAAACCTGCCAACGCCAACACACACACACACACACACACACAGTCAGACATCAGGGATGGTGAAAACAATCATTGGAAGCACAACAAAAGCTGTTCATTTAACAAATAGGGTTGTTTCATTTTAAATTTTAATCTATTTTGTAAAAAAAATCTATTTTGTCACAGTCATCCTTTTATCCTATTAGACATTTGTGTTAAATTGTGTCATAATAAGCGTATGAAGTCTTCAGTTATGGCCAAACCCTGTTTTTTGAAGTCACCTTGATGTTGGACCACCAAAATCTAACCAGTTCATCCTTGAGTCCATAAATTTGGAAAGATTCTCTCAAGGCATTACTGAGATATTCACAAAAATGTGACAGACGGACAACCTGAAAACCTTTAGCGCCGGCCCTTTTCTGGCCCTATTATTTCCTTCTGGCCCTGGCTGTCACAAGCATATAAAGGCACAGGAATCGCTGCTAAAATGAACACTGAGGGAAATTAAGTCAAAGCTGCAGGATGATTGAAAAGTCAAACTGGACTCCCTATTTTTTTCAGCAGTTAAAATAGGGACATGAAAGCAAAATAGCAATTGAGTCTCATTATCAGGCTAAAGACTCATTCATTTTGCAGCAATCTCTTGACTTACACAAACTGATCCTGCAGCTGTGAGAAACTCTGCTGGCACTGACCTTTGTTCGGTCTCTGTGTGAGCAGGTACTCGTCCTCTCCCTCCTCTCCAGGTCTGATCACCACACAGGTCAGAGTTCGCTCCACTCGAGGTGGCTTCTTTGGCGGCTTTCTGGGGAAGTTCTGAACGCCCAACTCATCGTCCCAGGGATCCGAGGGACACAGCAGACAAGTCCCACTGCTCACTGAGGGAGAGGAGAAAGGTCAGAAGTGATTTTATATCATGACATCATGAAGGTCTGAGAGGTCTGAAAGAGGAGGAAGAACACTTACCACAGTCTTCTATATCAGGCAGGGATGAAGTCTTCCTCTCCAGCTTCAACAAAAGCTTCTTGGAGTTTTGCTCTTGTTTGACATGAACCTACATATATTGAGACACTGTATAGTTATGCATGCTCTGACAGGCTGGCCTTACTATGATCCCAGATGTTAACAATCTCTGCTAACACCAACTTCTTCTGTATTTACAATAAAAAGCAAAGGACAAACCATAACTTCTTATTAGCAATGGTTAGCATTTGAGATAGTCTTTACCTTGCGATAAGAGCGGCAGTGAGACTGTACAGGACACTGGTTGCACACTGGTGCTTTAGGGGTGCACACTCGTGCTCCCAGCTCCATCATGGCCTGGTTGAAGTCCCCAGGTCTCTCTGGGTCCACCAGTGTATTGGCTAGACCCCTGAAATACAACAGAAAGAAAAAACATTAAAAACTAGAATGATGGCATATTAACTTCACCAATTAATCACTCCTAAACTAATGTATTTCAAGATATTATCCTTATTATCCTTATTATGTTATATATTTCTAAGGAATATTCATCAGCTTTTAAAACAGAGTTTCCTTGACATCCTTCGCACGAATAAAATCACAGCTCAAAAAATATTGAACAACAGTTGTCTGGACTCTTCTGAGACAACAATCAACATGCAGGAATCATCCTGTGTAGTAAAACAAAGCTGCCCTTGAGAAGCTGAACTAATACTGAAGAACTGGTACTAAAGTCAAAATCCAGGAGTATTGAGGATATTAGTTTGGAGTTTAAACTCACCAGAGTGCCTCTGTTACTGCAGGACTTGTGCTTTCAGCTCCTATAGCCCTCAGGCGACACAGCACCCGAATCACATTGCCATCCACGGCTCCAGTAACCTAGGCAACAGGCATGATGTCAGTCATCAGTGACAAATGGAGGTACTGCAGTTATGACATGTAACCTCAGAGTTTACCCTGGCACTTAGAAACATGGACAGCTCTGGTGCAGGTGTGTGTGTGTGTGTGTGTGTGTATGTGTGTGTGTGTGTGTGTGTGTGTGTGTGTGTGTGTGTGTGTGTGTGTGTGTGTCTGATAACCAACCTGTCCCAGCGCAATAGAGCCTATAGCTGCAGCAGTGTAGCGTCCCACACCAGGTAACTGTTTCAGCAGGCTGTCGACAGTCCGAGGCATCTGTCCCTTCAGCTCCGTCACAACCTAAAATAACAAAGTTATAACTGTTAACAGGTGAATCAATTCATAAATCTTTGCTCACGTTTACATAAAGCTGCTGGTACAATGAAGAAAAATGGAGAAGGCCTGAGAGTGACACATAGATACATGCTACAAAACAAATGTTACAAAGTGCAACACAAACCTTCTGAGCTCCTTCATGCAGTCTTTTCCCCCGGGAGTAGTAGCCAAGACCCGCCCACATCTGGTTCACCTCCTACAAATAAATAAAGTCATTTGAAATTTGAAAACAATCTTTAAATCACCATAGTTTCCATAGCTGCTTTTAGAAATCACCTCAAGTGTAGCAGATGCAAGGTCCTGCACCGTGGGCCACCGCTGGAACATAATAAACGGAGAGTCCAAATTACACTAGATTTAAGTATCCAAAGTCAAAGGTATCCAAAGGAATCCAAAAGTATCTTAATATGTCATAGGGAACTTACCTTCATCCATTTGTTGTAGTAGTCTTTCACTGTGGCAACTTGAGTCTGCTGCAGCATAATCTCTGAAACCCACACTGATAAAAAGAGAGAGACACACTGTCCTGTAAATGGCGTCAGCAGCAGTTCAACATATCGAAATCTGCCAGGAAAACGTTTTCTTACCTGCATATGTCCTAATGTTGAGGTCTGGTTCTGTCATAGCCTGTCAGAGAAATACAGGGAACCAATCAATTGTATTACTTCATGGTAATTGCAAGGATTGGTTCTAATGTCTAATGTGTGTAATGATACACTGAAGTAAGAACTTGTGCTAATAACCAAACTAAGGCATCACATTACTGTAATTTCAGAAGAATTTCAGGTAAATACTGTCAGATAACATCATTGATAAATAAGGATATGATATTCTGACTGTATTGCACAGGTATAATCTACTAGGTGTGACTTTAATCTCAGTAATAAAAGCATCCTTGCAGGTGTCATTTATGCTGCAGTAAACATGTCCCTGAACCAGACTTACTAAAATGCCTTCTGTCATATATAATTAAAATTAATGAATGCTAGTGAGTTGGTCTCTGACAAAACCTGCAAAACAAATGTTTCTTTTTACCAGAGTCCTCCATGGCAGCTCTCTCTTCTCCTTGTCGTACCAGTTCAGGAGCTGAGAGCGCAGCTGCAGAACATCAGCAGGATCAGGGAAGGTGTGGTACGCGGACGGCAAGGCAGCATTTGTGGTTTCCTCTGGAAGGCCAAAAAAAAATACTGTTCTCATTCCAACTTTTCACAAAGCAAATTCCACTGATGTTCAAGTAATAAAATATTTATCAAATACTCCAGGATGGTTCAAATGTTACACAGTATGCTGCCTGAGTGGGAGAAGTGAATAAACAGAACATGTGATTTTAATGAGGTAATAAATAAATATTACTGGAACCGTGTTTTATGTTTGAACTTATGTATTGTATGAATTAATTATTTTTATCATTGTATCGTGAACATAAATGTGCCCAGTCCACACGGTCTTACAAGATCCCAAATATTCACACAAGCCAGCACCAGAGTGGAGCGTATACGTTCATGATTTAACATGCAAACATATGCCTAAATGACCATCCTTAATCCCCGGAGCTAGACCACTCACAGATACTGCAAAGAGAGCTGGAGAGAAATAATATCCAGGTTTTTGACTGCTTTTTAACGTGAAGCTTTATTTAAAATAAGTTGGCAAAGACAGTCAGAGTTTAGTCTCTAAAAGAAATGTGAAACTGAACATAATATATGAAACCACAGGGTAAAGTGTTGCTCTATAGGATGTGTTTATAGACTGAGGCTGTAGTATTCACTATTATCAACCACATCAGGCCACAGGATGATTGAAGACAGACACCAACAGACAAACAATGCGCTGGTTCATACTCATGTGTCTGAGTATCAGTCTTTTAGGTAACACGTTAAGTAACATCAACAAGGAAGCTATACCTTCTTTCACTGCTGTCTTTGTCCTCTTGCGCTTTGGTTTTGCAGTTTCTACCATTTCCTGTGCGGCTCTTTTGCCTTTATGCATCGCCGAACGTAACCGGCTCATGACCACACACCGTATGAAGAGACTTATTTCGTTTCTTGTTTACCTCACGGCTTCATTTTGACTCCCGCCACGTTCAGGACGGGACATTCGCTACTTGTCCAATCCGCTGCAAGGAAACAGATATCGTAGGTAAAGCGTCATATCCGGTGAGGGGGGAGGGGGGGGCTTTGCTGAAAGTTAGTTAATGGGTGTTTGCACAATTATGATTTCAGATTAATTATTATTCAATATCACTATGCACATTGGTACATATTCAAAATAACCAAAAAACTAAAATGTCGATGTGATATATCAAAACCACATTAAGTTTTAAGCACATTAATAATAATTCAATGTGAAACTTTGTTTAATCTGGGCATAATTAAAAACACAATGTATTTTTCTATGAAGTAAAGATTCAAATTAATAACTTTTTCATGATTCCACCAATGAAAAATGTAGGCAGCAAAGGTTAATGTTTAAACTGTTTTACTGACATGCAAGCACAAAACATTTACAGAAGGTCTTCAACATTTTCATTTGTCTTCATCATTAAAATTATTTAGATGTTCCTCTTGTCCGCCTTCAGAGTTCCCTCCATTCAAAACTGGAAAACAAATATAGAAAAAACAAATAGAAAAAAATGATTCCCACATGGTTCAGCCAACCGAGGGGAAAGTAGACAGAACTTTTGACCAGCCTTAAGATGAACTCTTTGCTATCATTACCTTCAGTTATGTCCACTTTGTTAGTTAGCAGGATTTCTGCTTGTGTTTCATCCAGATTCATGTAAAAACTCCCAGGTTGGTGCTGTAGAAACAGAGTGACTGGATTTGTTAGTACTTCACTCCAGCAGCTTTCACACTGATCTTTTAACCAATGCTTTCATAATGTTTAGTTGGTTATAGGCTTACCATGAAGGCTGTTAACAGTGTACTGCCCATGACTCTCTGCACATGTTCCTCTATGACTGGGAATGAGTGGATAAAGTGCTAGACAGAGATTACATCCAGTGTTACTATGTGCTTGTGTATGAATATATATGAATGTTTGTGTAGGTTTGCATTTGAATGATACAGCACTACATTAGAAACAGTGAGGAGGGATGTAGTAGTGAGGGGAATGATGGAACCAGGAGTGAGGACACCCAACATACAAAGGGCCCTAAAAAAACCCGGGAAATGTCCTGAAAACCTGATGTTTTTTTTTATCTGCATTATTATTATTTTTTTTCAAATATAATTCAGAAAAGTAATGAAGTTATTAGTTTTGGTTTCCGTTTAATATTGGTAGGCCTATGTATGATCAGCTGCAGATCTGTCATCACAATCTTCTAATGTTACTGAGCATTTCAGACAAGCTGAGCTCATAAGTTAAAATCAGTTTTAGAGCGAAGCAGGGTCAGATGCTGTGCTATCAATTTTAATACTGGTGATACATTTTGTGTATGTATTTAAATTGTGCCTGTGTGTATGCTACTGCCATGTTGCAAAAGACTGGGCTAGCACTTGCTGGAAGGAAGTTCACCTTAATTCAACTTCAGCCACTGGGCTACTTATGTGTGCTACACCCTGACAGTGACAAACCTAAAATGTATTTATATACAGAATCCAACTTGAATACCTCTCCTCTGCAGTTTTCTGACTCGTGCTGACAGCACAGGCACGAGCATGAGTCATTGGTTTAGGCCCAATTTTATGGTGTGTACATTCTGGGGGACATTTTGTTTTATTTTATGTAAGAGGAAAACAATTGGCTTTACTGGAACATAAATTATAAAGCTGTGTTTAATTGTACAATAAATCTGAATGTTTGCTGCTCTACAAACAGAAAATCACAACACAGGCTATGCAGAAATAATCATAGTGCACAGTAGGTGAAAACATGTATGTACCTCCAAGGCCAGACTGGCTTGTATTTGTGTATCAGTGTGTTCTCTGTTGCCCATAGCATAGAGGAGATACTGGATCACTCCAAGAGAGAGAAACTCACGAGAAAGTTCTTGATCTTCCTCAGCCAGCAACCTTGAACACATTCAACACCATAAAAATATATCATTACTGTATGACGATAACTAAAACTATTACACTGACTAAAGTCATTAAAATAATAGAATATATAATTTATTCTCATGAGATTTTTTTACGTGTCACCTTTCAAAATGGACATCACGTTTACTGACAATTTAAATATGACCATACCGTATAGCTTTAGCTGCAGCAGCTTGTTGCACAAACACAGGGAGAGATCCAGTCATCTTGATCATCTCAGCCTCTAATGGGATTGTATGTGTCAACAAAACATGTGATGATACCTTGTTAATGTTACAAATTAAAGCACATTAATAAATGAATTTGGTGGTGTCTGCTTCAGAAGTTGAGTAAACATTAGGCAAGACACCATTAACATAACGTGGGTGGTCTCAATTTCCTACTGGTAATTGATTTCCTGTTGTTGATCAGTCTAAAGGGTTCTCTGTATCAGTCCTCAGAAAGAATTTAACCTGCTACAATAAAGAAAAAAAACAAAAACAAAACATCCAGGTCAAAGTGTCACCTTCTGTGATCTGGTGTGGCTTTACTTCTTCTTTAGTAGGCCTAAGCAGAGCCACCAGGCCACTGAGCAGCATTGGTCTCACATCATAACACTTCAGGTCTAAGATTAGATTAATAGCTGCCAGAAGAGAGAAAAGTGATAGACGAGGTTAAACAGTGAAGCCAAAGCAAAAGTTTACCATTATTTACAGTAAGTGCTTTCTCTGCTTACCTTCTCCCTGGACCTCCAGGTGCAGGGATCTGAGCATATTCAGCAGAGGTTCTACAATGCTATGGTGGGCCGTCTTCTTTTTAGACTGAGAGAGAGAATAACTAATTGTATTTATTCTTAGTATTTTTTTTCTTACAGAAATTCTCAAAACTACTTGTTCAACCTCCATATCATCAGGTCACTTCTGCACATCATAAAAGCAATTTCTCATTCTTTTGAACAAATTGCTTAAGCACATTCATGCAAATAATTATGTTCAATTCTCTGCTCTTTCCTACATTATCAATCGCTTATATAATGTTGATCAAGATGTATTATACTGGTTCTCTGTTGAGTACTTTTTTAATTTGTGTATTTGCTTTGTATGCACTCTTCATCTCTAGCTTTACCTGAAGAGTGCGTAAGGTGTGAAGGACCAGCTGCTGGGCTTTAGGAGAGTTACAAGCCATAAGGGCGATGAGGATTCTGTAGATTTGATTTTGGTATTTAGGATTCCCTTGGGACAAGGACTCCAGCAGGGCCCAAGCTGTCTTTTGGGTTTCCTCTGTATTTGACTCAACCAGGCGCTCTGCTATAACTTTGACACCTGAAAAAAAAATAGAAAGATCAGAGCTGATATGGTGGCTCCTAAAGTGCCATACAAATCATATTGATCCAAATGGTGAATCGATGATACCGGTATGAATAATGAAATTTACCATGGCTTTCACAGATAATCTCTTTGTACTTGTGACCAGCATTGGAGACTGTGAGCAGAAGATGGAGGGCCTCTGCCTTGTCCTCCTCTTTGCTCTGAGTGTGGCTCAAGATGTCCAGGAGGGTGAGAACACCTCCATCCTCCAGAAACTCCATCAGGTACTGATCACTGAGGAATGTCAGAAAGACGGCTCACTCACAGAAATGCCTAATAGCTCACAGATAACAGATAACTATATTTAATAGTTTATGATGCAGTATTTTATCTCACTCACTGGCCTGATGCAGACAGGAAAATCCTGATTGCCTTTAACTGGAGTCCCAAGAATGTCCCAAACATGTATCTGAATATTAAGTTAAGTTAAGACTCTGCAAAACAGCAAATAAGAGCAGGCCTAAAGAGTACCTATCCATTGTTTGTATTTTTACCAATTTTAGAAATTTTTATTTAGCTTTGCATTCATCCAGCTCCCAATCCTCATAAGTCCTTGTCCTCTATGGATCATTTCCCCCATTACCCTGTTCATTTTGTCAAATGTCATAGACTTAATTGCACAAAGAACTAACAACACTGTACATATAATATTCAATATAACATATAATACAACATACAGAAATACGTGACAAAAAACTTTAATTTTGATATCAAAATGTATAGATAATATGAATTGAAGATACTAAGAATAAAGAATTATTGTTATTAATACATACTATAAAATACCACATTGAAATGTTTATAACATCTACCAAATAATTAGCTTGCCTGATGTTCGCATGGTCTGGATCACCGACTGAACACCTGTGGTCCTAAGATTCACGCGTTATACTGTTAAAAAGTCTGAGAGCTTTCTGTTTTGACACTACACTGAATGCGTCCACAACAGGCCACTGTGTGTTTGAGCTGGCAGTGACTGTAACAGGCCACACGGAGCCACAGATGAAGAAAGGATACGTGAGTCTCGTCCAGGTGGTGAGTCGAGCCAGAAAGAGACTGGACACCTGAGCAAACTCACACTCAAGCTCATAAAAGCTCTTCCCTGCGTTTTGACTCAGAAAGGTGTTCAACATGCGGCTGCGGACTGTCGTGTCACCACGGTCCCATTCACGGAGAAAGCTGAGTACTTTGCCGAGATTCGCTTGTTCCTGCGGTGTTGACATTGTTGTTGTCCTACTCCTGCTTTAATTCTGGCGAACTGAAGTCAATGTTGAGGTTATTTTCAGTCTAAGAACCAGAGCCAGACAGTACTGTATCTGCTCTATAAATTAAAAAGCCATAATTACCTGAATCGCCTTGTCAAATATTTATATTCATTTGTCGCTTGCTTTATTTACTCCTCATCTTCCTCCTTCACTCGGTTTACAGGGTTGCTAAGCAACGTTGTACAATCTCCCACACTGTTTGGCAGCTATGATGCACCGTCCATATCGGTCTGTATAATTAAGAGTAGTAGGAAGTGGAAGAAAAAGCAAATATATAACAACACCACGACCCTGAAGTTTGAACTTTAACCAGTTTAGCTTCTCCCTCCTCCCAACCCACCCAATTGCTGCTAATGCACACCAAGCTTGACTGACATAAATAGAAGATTCAACTGTTGTGCAATACCCTTCTAAACTGCACCAGTCTACCAGTCCTCGTCCATATTTAGGCTACGCTGTATACAATGGTCACTACCTCAACATTTCAGCATTGTATCTGACTGTTTATCTTTTAACTTGCTATGTATCTTGACTTGTTTAATTATCTTATTTGGTCTTCAGGTATATTTTTTTATATTTTACTTTTATTGCTGTTGGTTTCTGAGAGGCACCAAAAATAATTCCATGTGTGAATGACAAATAAAGTGTTCAGAATTCTTTACTCTCAATTACTGCTTGACTGTAGATTTACCTGACCCAATCACAGAGATGTTTGGGGTCAAATAATTGTTCCAGTTATTATTGAAGAATGGACCTGTATTACCACCAGGTGGGGGCAACTGGACCCAGTCAAGAAGGACTGCTCGAGGTTTGCTGCCCCCCGCAGGCCACCCCCCGATACATGTGCTTCTCTCCGGAGATAAAGAACATCTCGGTGTAAGGAAGAAAATCACAGTGTAACATAGTCTGGAATGGGACGAGGTTGTATTTTAACACCACGCAAACCACTGGCCTCAGTTACTTTGTAGTGTTTCTCTCGTGCACAGACCCTGTAATATTCAGGATGTACTTTTACTCTGCCTTAATGCCAAATAGCGGTTGGTTCACGGGGCGACACTTCATTTTTCCGGATATTTGTCGCTATTGTTTACATTTTTAATACCATTTGAGGAATTCTTCTACTACCCCACACAATTCTTTCATCTTGACAATGGCTGTGTAGTATTTTAAGGCTAATGGGTGTCCGGATAAGAGCACATAGACCGGCATGGCACGACAGACAAAACCCGTTCATAAGAACACAGGGAGAGAGTGACAAGGACGGGGAGAGGGAGAAAGAAAGGGGAGGGGAACTGACATTAAAGCAACACAACAAGGAAACTACACTGCAGAGCCACAGACGCCTTCATTTTATGTTTTTGAATAATAGCCGGAGCTAGTGTGGCGAAGTGTATCTGTGAAATCTGCCCGTAGCTCAGCCCCGCACAGCCTCAAGTGCCCTGAAAAGGAGCAGCTTTTGACCGAGTTGGATTTAAAGGCGCTCTCCGACGCTTTCAGAGATATGGGTGAGAATAATGAAAGAGGGGTTTAATTGTAATTTTGGGGGAAATTAACAGAGGAGGAGCAGGCCTCTTCTTGTGGAGAGAGCCATGTCCTAATGGGAGGTGGAAACAAAGGCCAACCGCATAGCTTAGCCGTAATTAATGAAATGCCAATTTAGATTATCTTTGGCTATTTTGGACCCTTGAGATTCCTTTCACCACGATAGGATTGCTATCAGTTTAGCACGCTGTAGTTATGAATGATGCTGGCTGCCATTACAGTGGGGCTTTCATCATAAAGTCATTATAATTAAAATAATGAACATTTACACTGGCTTTATTCCTGATTTAACTTTAATATACAGATGTTAAATTGGTATTCAGGTGCTTTGGCTAGTACTGAAACCTCTGAGTAACATGACCTCTCACAAGAGAAAACATTAAGTTCATGCATCATAAGAGATCCAATATGATGGCTTTGTTTTCAACATTAACATTACACCCACATATCACTCTAGCAGACCTGATGGATGATCCTTGATGTTTGGATGCTTGTGTGTGTCCTCAGGCTCAGAGCCACCCAGCTCTCCACAGGTGGTGGAGGATGGAGGAGAGGAGGATGAGGAGGAGCTGAGCGGAGGAGAGGAAGCAGATCTGCGGTCCAGCTCTGGCCGGGGCTCCCTGCTGACCCGGAGAGGCATCACTCTGAGAGTTCTGCTGAAGGACGGTCTGGTGGAGCCAGGGGATGGGGTGTTAGCCATCCACTACCTGGTAATAACACACATCACAGCAGTAGATAGTAGGAGTGTTGTTGTTTATTATATATGTAAGTTTTGTGTTGTATCATGTAGGCTATGAAATAGCGTAGACAGTTGTTTTAAAGGAGTAAACCCACATGTACATGTTTTTGTTTTTGCTTAAAACTGTCTCTCTTTCTTCAGGGTAAGAACTTTGTTGGAGACCTGTTGAATGATGGGAAAATCCGATGGGTGGAGACGGGCCAGATCTTCAACTCCCCCAGTGCCTGGGCGACACACTGCAAACGTCTGGTCAACCCAGCCAAGAAGTCTGGCTGTGGCTGGGCGTCTGTACGCTACCGGGGACAGAAACTGGTCCAGTACAAAACCACTTGGCTGCACAAGTACCAACCCAGCGCAGACATGGTGAGAGCACAATGACAGAGCTTTTTTTTGTTTTTTTATCTTCTCCTTTTCTTAAAGAAGCAAATATCTGAGGCAATATACTGAAATGAATAGTAACTGAGAGGTCGAACATCATGACCCAAGTTTAGACCAACTGGTGCCTACATGAAACCATTTTCTCATACAAATTTGTGCTAAGAAAACACAGTTCAGTCAGGTTTGAGGGAAGGACAATGACGCTGAATGAAGATAAAGCCTATTAACTTTGTAGCACAGCAACCAACCAGATAGATAATCATGGATCAATACAGAGACTGGACTTCTATTTATTGCCATGCCTGACTTTTGTCATACAAAGAGAAGAAGGGAAGAGTTGAGGAAAAGCAAAATAACTTGCTGACTTTGAAAGAGGGATGATGAAATCGGTGAAAGGGGAAATAATAGTACTTTGTTCATTTGGAAGTAAAGTCTATTTGTAGATTTATTTGCTCACAAGGGAAGAAAAATATATATAATCTAACGACACACATTCAATTAAAATAAAGCCAATATATACTGAGGGCAGACTTTCTGAACTTTTTTGACCCTTTAAAATGAAGTGATGTCTACTGTACTTGCGTCCCCTTGTCCTGGTTTTCTTTTATAATTCTTTTATCTCTTCTTTCGTGATTCTTTTATCATAATCTTTTATTTTATATCTTAATTGGAAGGATTGTTAGAGGCCTGAAGAGGTGAAAACATCCAGCATTTGACGAGTAAAAAAATCGAAAACTTGAAATGAAAAAAACACAGATTCCTTTTGTCTTTATGCCTTTGATCATCAGTGCTGAAAGTCTCCATCATATCAAGTTATTTCTGTTTATGCTGGTCCGGATTGAAGAAAAATGTTACTTGATTTTACAAAATACTTGAGACAAACTGATTTACATTGGAAACAAAATATTCTGGAGACCAGACGATATTAAAGTCACAAGTTACAAGCAAAAATACTTGTTTAAAAGGAGAGTTTGTGACATCTCCATGTTATCTTGGGGACCTCTCTGGGGAAGGCCATGATTCGTTCTACTGTTTGTCCATAAGACTGTAAGTTATCCTATGTCACATATTGTGTTTATTTCTTGTGATGTCAGAGCCTGGTGAGTGAGGAGGACGATGACGAGGATGAAGAGGAGGGTAAGACCGCTGTGCAAGCAGATGAGAAGAACAAGAACAACAAACCTGGATTACATGGTATGATTCTTCTCTTCTCTTCTCTTCTCTCCTCTCCTCTCCTCTCCTCTCCTCTCCTCTCCTCTCCTCTTCAAGCTTAAAAGAAAATCTTGTTAACTGTTACAGATGTAATGGTTTCACGAAGAACTGACAGAGAAAGAATTCCTGTCAGATATTGCACCTTGGGCACCAGGGATGCTGCCAGGTACTTTCTATTATTCAGGCAGATTGATGTAATTTTATGTGATCGTTGTGTTGTGGAGGACACATTAGACATTAATTTGTGTCCTCAGAGATCCGCACACTCTCGTGGAGCTGTCAGCCTTCTCAGCCATCAACAGATTCCAGCCTTTCAACGTAGCCGTGTCCAGTAATGTACTGCTGCTAATGGTAAGCAACAGTCTCAGCTAAAGCAGAGTAATTAAACACTGACAGACATTTAAAAGTCCAAGATGCCTGCTTTTTGTCCTTTATAGGACTTTCACTGTCACCTGACCACCAGTGAGGTGGTGGGATACCTCGGAGGACGGTGGGATACTAATACACAATGTGAGTGTGACTTTGGAACTGGACGAAAAGTGTACATTAGTAAATCAGAACGAGGCTGCCTTCATCACCTGCGTGTTTCTCTTTGTGGTTGCTGTATTTCAGTGCTGACCGTCTTAAGGGCTTTCCCCTGTCGGACCAGGCTGGCAGACCGAGACTCAGCTTCCGCTGTCGAGGAGGAGGTACAGTAAAACATGGACAAGTCTGCGCTAACGGCATGTATGCCTTCAGAATACACGAAGGTTTAAAAATTCACAAGCTCTTCCTGTGCCCCAGGACACTTCAGAAGCTGGCACTTGACAATGTGCATCTCTTTTTCCAAAAGCCAGAAACCAAAGAACCGACTCCTGAATTTCTATCACAGGGAAATAAAAACTGCGATTGCCGTGCTGAGAGTGCTAATCTTGAAGACTTGTGTGGTTTTAATACTAGTTTATTTCTAGCAACATCACAAATTTAAAGTTTTTTAGTTTTTTAGGTTGAAAAGAACTGTTCTGACATATGGAAATAAATTTTAGATGTGATGTTTCCGTCCTCTTTGGATCTGTGCACTGATATTATGTAAATTTTAGGCACTGAAAGTTAACTAGTTTACAGAATAGGAAATACAAAAATGCAACTTGAAAAAAAAATGTAAAGCCAGTTTTTTTCAAATAAGTCTCTTGTCATGTTTGCTCTCCTCAAGATTTGTCAGAACCTGTTCATGCGCGGCCTGTCGTTGGTGGGCTGGTACCACAGTCACCCACGAGGTCCAGCTCTTCCGTCGCTGCAGGACATCGACTCCCAGATGGACCACCAGCTGAGGCTGCAGGGTTCAAACAACGGCTTCCAGCCCTGTCTGGGCATCATCTGCGGTCAGTGCCTGCCTTTATATGTAGTGTTGATCTGTACCGGGAACCCCACTTTGCATGCTTCTTCCACAGGGAGAAGAAGCAGACAAACACACTTTATTCAAGCATTGCAAGGAATTAAATAGGGAGTAACCCAGAAGTTACCCACAAGTTGCACTGCCCAAAAAATGTACTCCAATAAGAATGAAATAAGGTAATGGGTAGAGTGTTTACAGGTGGAAGCTTATGTAATAGGTAACATAAAATAGGCTGCAAATATTGCACCTGAATGAGACTTGAATTACTTTCATGAACATACCCTCAGCAATTGTCATGGACCGCTACAAAAACTGTGCAGCTAGTACAAAGGACCTCCAGTTTATCTTACAGGCCATTAGCCATTAGCCTACAGGGCTACAGTACTTGTAGGCTAATGGCCATTCATGCTGCAGTGATGTCAGTAAAACATAATTGAAATGATTGCAGTCAAATTTTCACTATTGTCTTAAAGGGATATTTGCTGCAGTCTCTAAGTCAGCAACAGCTTGTATTTCCAATTGCCATGGCATGTGAAGGCATCATCACTATAATGAACATGCTGTCTGGTCAAAACTTTGGCTTTCTAATCATCGGGCAGGTTTGATGCCACTTAGCTTTTGACAATGTTTTTTTTTTTTTTTCTTAACAGGACCATATTACCACGGCAATCAAGGTGTGGCCTCTACAATAACTCCATTCTGGGTGGTACCGCCACCTGAGGTAAAGGCAAGGACATAACTACTAACTTTAAACCAGTTAAACCACTTGTTTCACGGCTTTGTAACTTAGTTGTCATAGTCTTTCCTGACACAGTTCATTTAGACATTTGTGCTCATTTTTCTGTTAAATTTATGCATCCTCTGCTTTCCTGCAGCAACGGCCTAATGACTACGGTATCCCAGTGGCTGTAGAGGTCACTTACGTACAGGACAACTTCCTCACCAGTGATGTCCTTAATGAGATGGTACTGATACTGCAGCGTCAGATCTATGAAAATACAACAGAGAAATCAAAATTATGTGTCACTGTTTTTTATGAATGCTGTAAATTTAGTACAAAAATATTTGGCTCTGTTTTTGTTTCCTCCAAAGATGCTGCTGGTCGACTACTACAGGGCAGCTCCCGACCTCGTCCAGTTCAGCCAGTACTGGTGCCCCGACACAACCATGATGGACAAGATCAAGGTAGGATGATCTGAAATTAACAAACCAATTTCAGAAATTAGGGGATTATGTGTCTGTGATCTTCAGACCCTGCAGCTTACCTAACTAGTTCGTCTTCTTCCTCCTCAGGGCTCTCTGAGTTGCCATGCTCCCAAAGATCAGGCCTACTCTCAGATCTTGGAGCATGTCTACAGTCAGCTGAGCAACATGCAGTGAGTGGATGTGCTCTGCACGTGTGCATGTGGCTGCTGTCCATCTCAAGTCGTTCCATTTCGAATACGTTTTGTGCAGAGCTGACGGGCTCTGGTGTGACGTGCGTACAATGTACAAAAACCTGCTTGAAAAACATGTAGATGCCTTGAATTCTCTCACTCTTAATTTAATACAGCATTATCATGAGTTCAGACACACTTCAATGACTTTGAAGGTGAAGGTGCTAAATCTGTGATGCTAGTCACAACAGGAGCTTGTATTTACCATTGATAAAAAACAAAGAAATATACAGTGTGAAACTAATTAGTGTTAAAAACCAATGTTTTACTAAAATTAAATATTGTTTTAAGGACACTAAATGGAACTGTTTCATATCCAGATAAGCACTGGCCTCTTACCTTTTACAAATGGACCTATGTGCCTATCTGTGCCAGTATCCTGCCGTATGAGCAGATATTGCCAGATATGTACAATGTAAACTTGTTGTAATTGCCTTCATAGACTAAACCAGGAACAGTGATTGGAAAACAAAATGTAAGAAAAAAGTAGTGCTAAATATCTTTAGCATACAACGTGAGCAAAGTAGGAAAAGCATCTTGGGTTGACCTAAACAATACTCTGCAATAGGTTTTGTGAATGTTTGTGTTCCTTAAGTCAAATTGAAAGGTTGCAGTGTGGTGCAAGTAAATCCATTTTGCCAAATGTTTTTTTTTAATTTTTTTTATGAACCTGTGTGTCTGTGAGTTGTGTTGTGAATGTGCCCCTCTACTGTCTCCCTATCAGGTTACATGAGACAAGAGTCCTGTTGTTAGGACACCTATTTGCTTCCTCTTTACCTGTACTGTATTTACAACTAACTGTGGATTGTGTGATGTACATGTATGAAGATGTATGCCTTAAGCCTGCTGATTGATGATCCACAAAGCATTAAAATACACACACTGGAACTATTTAAACATGACTGTCTTTTCCTTTATTTATTGCATTTGTGTGAGGAATATTGCACTATTGTTTTTTTATTTTGTGTTCTCCAGCTCAACTGCATGAAATGCCTTTTCATTTTCCAGCCATAATTTGACCTCACTATTGATCAAATACAAGGATAAGACATTTTTCTTTTTATTTATTGTAAGAATGGGGGAGGTGGGAGACGAGAAAGAAGCACATACAAATACTTTGATAATAAAAGACAAAATATTGTGGTTAAATTCTGTACTCATACCGATAGTAAAAAGGCCACTTAAATCTAAGACATACATTTACAAGGTTTGATACAGGACTACATGCAAAGATTAATTTAAAGGTCTTGTATATAAAAAATAATACTATAGAGAGCCAGAATGATTTAACGCTGTTCAAAAGAGCATTTAAGACTGATTAAACAAATGCATAGCCCTTTAAAAAAAGGAATCAATGGGACATTTTTTAAAACATGGATTAAAATCTACATAAAAACAGTTTCCTTCGGTGGTTTGCTGATAAACCTCACATTATCTAAACACAACATGTTTAGGAAACTGCTGTAGTGTCACAAATGTGCAGATATGTGCACCCATGCATTTCATCTTTACACAGGAAAAATGCCAATGGCAAGAAAAAAAAACCAAAAGTAGAAAAAAGAAATTCTTGACCATTGTTCTTAAGTAGCTAGGTTAGGTTTTGGTTGCTGTATTAGTTGCGGTTCTTTCCCTCCTTTCTTTTCCAAAGGCACTAAAAACAAAGCTAGCAAGGACTTGTTTTTTTTTTTTGACAACAGTGTGATCGAGACAGCACCTCCAACAGTCCTTTAACTTTACCCTGAACTTGATACAAGCAATCAAATGTAGAAAGATCAGAGATGTAAACATGTAAAGACAAGGACCAAACTCAGGATTGGGGGACGTGTTTGGCAGCATGGAGTGAAGGACAAACACACATAACAGAGATGATCAGAAAGATACTGCAAACAGTGAAAGAGCACGTATTTGTCATTCACAATTAAAACTTTTTTCACCCCTAAGACAATTGCACTGACTATACTTCTTTAATGTTTGATAACAAGGGTTCCCCAAATTAGTCCAAACTTTTCCCTTGATGGTTTCCCTTTCACTCCAGGTCTTTCCCTCATACTGTCCAGTGTATTGTGGATTAAACTCCATCTGCATGTGTGAACTGTGGCTCGATCCAAAACAAGAAACCAGCCTTGTCTCAATAGATAGAAGTCTACATCAACCCATATTATACTAACAAATAAATCGAATCAGAGCCATTGTGAATGATCAGAATCACAGGGTCAGACCAAGCTTCAAAGCAGAGATGACTTTCACATTCTCAAAGACATGAGGGCAGACAGAAAAAGTAGGACAGTTAGTGATGTATAAGAAAGGCTGAGTCGCTGCCAGCAGCGTCGTCTATTCAGGCGGAGTTAACAGGCGCCTATTAGAAAATAAAGTAAAGGACTTAACAAGGTAAGACAAACAGGCCTAAAACTAAATGAATATATGGCTGTATAAGAATATTTAGCAGTTTACTAAGCAATGTGTTGCTATTGCATTTTATAAAGACTTTTTGGCTCCGTCTCTTCTATTAAACAGACCAACAAACAACCATTAAATGACTAATCATTCTGCATTTCTACACATGCCTGCCTTAAGTGACAAAAAGGTGCAATGTCTGCATTTAACTTTGGGTCTTTGTATAATGGTGGAGTAAGTCTGTCACACACACATCAATCTCATTTGAGGACCAAGGTGCAATTACATTTTCTCACTTATTCAGTAAGCAGTTCTACTCTTAATAACTACTGTCTTAAGTTGAGACTAATGTAAATCAAATACTGAAACAATAATAAAAGAACCCACTGTTGTCTTCTGAAGCTATCGTCATCACAGCTTAGAAAAAGAACATTAACAAATAGGCCAAAACCTGAAAACAATCTAAATCACACATGTGAGATAAATTTTGGCTCATGTTTCTCATAAAAAATGTGAAGAAGATTTTTTTTAGATCCACTAAAACATTTCTTTTCAGTTGTAGTTCAATTTTAGTTTGGGTAAAAGTAAATCTCACTCACACCAGCAGGGGGCATCAAGAGATGAGACCCAGTTCTTTAAGGGGCAGACAAACTTTTCAGTTTAAAAATAAGTCTAAAATTCAGTCAAGTTACATGACATTACTGCGAAGTTTGAGTTGGCCTCTCCAGTCTGAAAACTGACTGTTCAACTGGTGACCAACCTGAGTTTTAAACAGACTGCAGTCACACAGAGAGCATTATATAAATGCATCATCTCAGGCATCATAATAATCACCAAATTTAATACAGTTCTCTTTACTAGATCAGTAATTTGTGGTTAAAGAAAAATATTGCTTATAAATGTTTCATCAGTTAGTCCTCAAGAAATGTTTCTGACTGTCAGATAACGGGTAACGACATTTTGTGTCCATCTTAGTCTAGGTCCTTTCACCTTTGGGTGGAACAGGTTGATATGTTATGGTCTGGACTTTGAAATGTAACCATCTTCCCCAGAACTCTAGATGACAAAAAGTGCTCATCTGTAAGGATGACATTGGAGCTGAAGGTGAAAATGAATCTTCTGCGGACCATCCCTTGGCTTCACTTTCCTCCCTCTCTACTAACTCTACTTGCTCTCTCATCTCCATCAGTCTCCTCTCAGCTCTCTTCCTCTCTTTGTATTAGTGTGGCAACGGAACGAGGACCTCGACGTAGTTGAGAGGGAAGAATCCCGACTGGCCATTCAGCATGCCCTCATACCAGTTCTCGTCGATCTGATTGGTCAGGGTGATGATATCGCCCTCGTGGAAGCCCAGCTCTCCCTCGTTCTCTGGCTCAAAGTCATACAGTGCCTTACAGCTCGGCTGCTCCGGGGCTGAGAAAACACAGGTAAGGAGAGAGAAGATGAAGACGGTGGAAAGAAAAGGAGGACAACTTAAATTCAGGATGCTTTCACACAGTGAAGGGCCACGGCAGTGTCAGTTTCAGAAAAAGGTGAAGCAAGTACTGTAGTTAACACTTTTTTATATAAGTTAGTAGGAACACATTAGTATGTGGTAAAGTCAGATAAACTGCAGCACAGCGGCACTGCAAATGAGCTCACATGTTTAAACTTTAACCAAAAACCACAGTATCCTACGACAACAGGTTTCTTTATGACTGTACTCCTCCCTCTCTATTCGTGGTTTTCTCCGTCTATCTGTTTCTCTGTGACCTCACATAGATCAGCAGAGGAGAGTAGAGCTCCATGCACAGACAAACTAGCCTGTTTTTCTCACCAAACAATTTTCTCATTGTATCAAGTTTACCCCACAGACTGCTGGGTAGGCTAGAGATGGGGAAAGCTTTGGCCTCTCATTCTCTGTGTTTTACCAGACCAGAAAAAATAATGTAAACACATAATGGAGTAAGTCTTTAGCAACTTTATCACAATTACAAACATTTCTCCAGAGGTAGGTTATATTACCAGAGACTCTTCAGATGCAAAAAGAATCAGTTTATTCCATGTGCATGTTTCAGTCAAAAGACCATCATCAGCACAGAAGTTGTGCAGCGTGTTGACGATGATCAGCAGCACTTATGCTTCTGAATGAAAACATTCACATTTGAGGAGCCTCTTCTGCTGTTATATTAACTGAGCTCAAGATGCATTCATTTGTAAATATTTTTATGTCAATATACTTTACGCAAATATAAAGTCAATATCATAAAGTAAACAAGACTTTAATTACACTAATTTTGAAAAGAGCAGTTTCCCAAGATAATGGGTTTAAAATAATTTGTTTGTACATGGACACACTAATGATGTTCTGCATATTATACAATATGGTGGGAGGACATAGAAACAGAAATCCTGTTACAATAATTAAGAGTAGTGTATAAATAAAATTAATTAAAGTTGAAAATCTGGTGTCCAGATTAAGAACTCGCCAACCTCAACTCTGTTATTCAAAAAAGCTTAAGTACTGAAACAAAGCTCAAAGCACTCTTTATAACACTAATATATATTTTGACTGACATACTAATGCATATGAAATCTGTATCTAATCATAATTCTAGCACCAGCTGCATGTTAGTTAGTTTATAGTCGTGAAATTGCACTGTGCCTAAAGCAATGGTCTAAACTCTGTGAGGTGCAGTGTTATGTGTACGCACTGCTCCTAAATAAGTAACACTGGTCACATAGAGAGGTCACGTGTCCTCAGGGGACAAATTTACTGAGCAATTATATAAATTCTGAAAATGATAGTAATTATAGTTGCAGTAATATACTATTGTTTAATATTAACAAAGTGTACTATACTCAAGTTAATACATAAAATCATGTTAGAGGACGTCAAACATTACACCTCATGATCACATAATCTCGGGTTTAACAAACTGTCACAGACAGAACTGTATGTAAAGTTTTACAATATGAACATTATGTGTTTTCATCATTTAAGGGCTGGTACTTGTGTATCTTGGCTGTTTAGAATGTGAAGTAACACAAGCGGTGCTAATATCTGTTTGTTTGATCTGTTCAAAGATTAGTTGAGAGATTGTCAATTGTTTGTTAAATTAAGAGAATCCTGATTGGTATTTTATGATGTCTTAAATAAATATGTGTTTAAATCAAATGTGGACTGAACCAGTGGTTGCAGAGCTGTTAAAACTTTGGCCAGTCAGGTTTCTAAAGGACAGGATGTTAATTTCACACAAAACCACATATAATGCTGCGAAGCTACTACGCATGCACCATAAACCACTAATTGTGTTCTGAACTTGCGAGAAGCAACTTACACCATACGTCACACATTTCACATAAAAGGCTGTACAAACACAGAGGACCATTTCAAGACCACAGCTGAAATTATGAAACTGAAAAATGGCCCACACAATTTTTGACTCACACAATGTGGGTTTCCGAAAGGACAATCTGGCCAAGTGAAAAGACGGCTCTGATGATGTCACGGGAAAGAGGAACAAGGTCAGTTGGAGAAAGGCCATTCAGCTGACAGAACAGGACAGGACACACACACACACACACACACACACACACACACACATACATATATATATATACTCACACGCACACACACACACTCATTCTTCCCCTTAACACAGACACAAACATTCATTTTCTCATGGTCAACGACTGAGGGTATTTGTGAGTCAAACATTCAGCGCATGCCACCACTTACAAAGCCTCACAAACACACTGGAGAAAAGAAAAACAAATGCACGCTGAATGTTCTTCACATATTTCTGCTCAGTGGTACTGGTTCTGGTATTTAAGTAATCATCTTGGCAGATTTTTTTTACGTTCAGTTTCGGTCATATTTCTAAGAATGCAGGCATGCTACTTCGGCTTGGTGCATCCTCTGTGTGTGTATAAACAGCTGGATGTTTGGTTGTTGTTGATTTCTGGTATGGCAGCTCTCTTCCACAGCTCTTCTGTGTGGCTTTGAGAGTGATGTAAGTGTAAGGATGAACACAAAATAATGACAGAGTGTGTTGTTGTTCTTTGTTTTGTCAAGACCCCATCTGTTCTCTGGTGCCAACTGTGCAGTCAGCCACTTCATCATTTTGACATTAATAGCTTACAATTTACAATTCAGCTTCAAATTTATTTAACTGTGTGTGTTCATGGTAAGTGTTCATAGTAAAATTACAAAGTATTTGTAACTTTTTTAAATATTTGTTCTTAGAGCCCATCAGCTTTTTCTTACCTGAGTTACATGAAGGTGGAGGAGCCATTGAGGTTGAGTAGCCGCCGTTTGAATGGTTGTTGTCGCCAAAGTCAAAGATAGGTTTGGGTTTGGGTGTGTATTCACGTCTTGGTCGAGACTGAGCCTCATTCATCCTGCTCAAAAAGATAAATGAATGAATCTTACATTCTCAAATCTTCACAATAAATACAAAATGATGTGTGAACCAGACTCGAAAAGCCCCAGGCAGAAAGCTGCACAGCCACATGTACCGTGCAGTATGTTGGTATTTGTGGGTTACGTTTTATTACTGCACCTGTCTCTGAGTTTGTCAGAAAGCTCATCCAGCACCTGCACAGCCTGTCTGTGGTACTGCAGCTGGGACTCCACCAGAGATGAGAGCTGGCTCACCTGCTCGATCTACCAACACGCGCATTACACACAACACACACACACACACACACACACACACACACACACACACACACACACACACACACACACACACACACACATCAGATTTGCAAGACAATCAATGTTACTGTATTACCTAGCCCAAAGGATAAACAGTTCAATATTCTGAATAATAAATAATACAGTTCATAATAGCCCCAGTGACAACAATGTGTGGGTATATACTGCACCTTGGAGATACCTAATCATGAAGCTCATGTGTAATATATAATGTATACATTTGTTTGACAAAATAATCATAACTCATGGTCTGCTTTGCTTTTTATGGAGCAATGAAAGGGTAATAAATAGATCTTAAGTTTAAATTATTTGATCAAACTACTGTGTCCAAAGTCAAAAATGATCTTTCATTCTCAAATTTACACATATGTAGTATTTAGTATTTAAACAGTCACAGGAAACAATATGAAAGAGGAAATATGGAGAGATAGACTTCCTCCAACTGCACTGGTCATATTCATACTGTGAAGTTGTCCTCAATATTGAAACTAACCCCTTAACTGCTGTGGTGTATTACAACAAATCACACAGAGAAGTAGCTAGTATTAGTATTATTAGCTAGTCTAATACAACAATCCTGCTATGATAAACCGTTTTACCAATGTACTTATTCAACGTTATGATCATTTTGGAGGATGCAATTTGTGGTGCTGTTGAAATGTATTGTGTTATACTGAGAGGTGTTATTATTATTTTGACAAGCCCTTTTAAATCAAAGAAGGTAGGCTAAATAACACAAACATCTCTCTGTATAATGCAACAAAGTTCAACAGCACCACAAACTTCAGCCTCCAAAATGATCATTAAGTTGACTCAACTTCTCTAAAAACGATTTCAACACAAACTGAACGTTATAACCTCTAAGACAGAGGGTTTAATGTAGGACTGTTGTATTAGCCATTTTAGCCAGGTGTACCAGCAGTAATAAACTGACAAATGAGTGTATGTTCTGAGCCGTTTCCTATTTCTACACCTCCTCACCTATAACCTGTTCACCTGCAGGTATGTACACAGCAAACAAATGCTCTTGACTGCTAAACCAAAATAGATTAAATGTTATAACTGTTCAACTACTGCTATTTAAAAGGCATGTTTATCTGCAGTGCCACTGTTATTTGTGCTGAACGTGGTGTGTTACATCAATCTCTACAGGTGTAACTATTGACGTGTGTTTGTCCTCTGGGTGTGCAGTGGACAGAAGCCTCCCAGAGCCAAAGTTTGAAGCTCTGGCAAGCTCAACAGTGAAGCATGCGATGAAATGTTTGACATGATATAGTGTCGTGGCAATATCTATGACAAGAAGCCCAGGCTGTGAAAATAACTGTAGTTATGCTTTGAAATGTTCCACGTCTACATATGGGGGATGAGATCTTTTCTTTCATTTGATTTCATCTTTACATTAATTAAGTATTAAGAACTTCAGAAACAAAAAGTTTACTGTATATTTGAGGCATATAAATATTATTTTTCTACTATGTTAAAACTGGGTATATGTCACAAATGCCAGAATGTTATGCATAAGTATGACTATCTATCAGAATCTATCTTTATAGCTGATGAAATAGATGGCAGCGATGACAGAGGAACACCTAACCTTTGGATGTAGATAAAACTCTTTTTATTTTAAAGGTATTGGTCTTTAATTTATGCTTCAGAGGACAAACACTCACACTACACACTGAACAGAAAGAAATAAGTCCTCACGTCAGTCTCCAGCAAGTTGTACATGCTGGTCTCGGCCACTTCCTTTGACTCATGAAACTTCTCCAGGGCCTGTCGAACCTCCTCATCTGGGATCTTGCCCTGACGCTTTTTCTTGTAGTCATAGTCCAGGCGACGGCCTTCAAGCTTCTTAAGATGGTGCTGAAATGGTCAGAGCCATAGTTAGTTTAGTAGTGATCAATATCTTGCATGAACTACAGTTTGACAATTTGAAGGAATGATGATGGAACGTTTGACTGGCATATTTTAATATTGCACATGAGAGGGATTAATCATTAAACAGATATCCAGTTTATTTCCCTGTCATTAAATACTTTGTTAGTGTATCCGATACCTGTATCTCTCTGAGGTCCTTATCACAGAGCCCTTGCAACGGATCAATGAAGTTCTGTTTGACGTCGATGTCTAGAGAGTCTTTGACTTCTGCCATTCTCTTCATGGCTTCTCCTACGTCTACTAATGCTCCACCTGAACCGCACAGACAGGGATTAAAGGCTCAGTTATATTAACAGATTTACAGTTTCAGCCACAACATTAAACCCTGCCACCTGTTTTAATGTTGTGGCTGATCAGCGTACAGCATTTATAGTTATTATAACACCATCAGACCATAAGTACAGAAACAGATAGTATCTGCTAAAACCCCACACACAAACAGACAGACAGAAATACAATACTTAAAACAGCACTGCAAACAGCCCTGCTGGAATACAGCAGTGAGTGAGCACACGAGCACAACCATGCACACATCAAAACCAATAATTACACACACACAAGGTTTGTCTGCCAGGAATTTATTATCTAAACCAGAACACACACACATATCTTACCAAAGTTAGTGTCCTCTCCCAGTTCCCGTCCATACTTGCCCATACACTCCCCTAGCAGGCCCTCGGCCTGAGGATAGCCTGGGTTCTTCACCTGACCACGAATCTTAGACATGGTGTTCAACATGGACAGTTTGGCCCGAGATGCTGGGGACAGGAGTTGAAATGTTAATGAAAGAGTTTAAACAGTTTAAACACATGCGTGTAAGCAGATTATGTTCTCACCTGGGTTGGGCTGAAGGTACTCTGATGTTTTGGAGATTACATCCACTACTGCTTTACTGGTCACATCTACTTTCTACAAAATACAGCAAGTACATATACATCACAAGTGTGTAACAGAGCTACTGTAGCCACAGAACTAAAATAAAAGTAACAGGCAAAGGAGGTATTCTATTTAAGCTGCTATCAAGCATTATTTGCATGTGCTTGTTCATAGGTTCTTGCACATGGTTAAAAGTATTATAAGAAAACAAGTTTGGATACACACAGTATATTATAGTCACATGCACCTGAGATTGGGCTCTGAACCAGGGCCCAATGTCAAATCTTCAAATGGGTTGTTTTGTCAGTCCAAAACCCCAAAATATTCAATTTACTATCATATTAGACGACTAAGAGCACCAGAAAACATTCACATTTGAGGAGCTGGAACCAGGGAATTTTGGCCTTTTTGCTTTAAAAATGACTTAAACAGGCAAGCATCAAAGTATTCTTGATCGATTTTCTGTCGTTCAACTAAAAAACTAAGCAACTGATCATTTTGGCTACACTCTAAACTTTTCAGGGAATTTAATGGCAATAAGTTTTGAATGTCAACAACACAGTTTTGAAAGTTCTTCATTAACACTTTAAATGAGGTGTGTAAAGCAAGAACTGATGTCTAACAAAAAAAAAAACGGCAGCATGTTTGTGCACTGTGTGAAAAAAACAGTCAGGCCCATAGTTCTGATTAAAGCAGTTTCCACAGAAAGATGCCTCTCTTACCCGTTCCAAGTCCCTGAAGTCATCATCGAGTTTAGTTCCTTCTGCACCTCCGACTTTCTCACTTACCATCTAGAGGGAGAGAGAGACAGGAAGACAGAAAGAGGGGTGAGGGAGAGAGAGAGAGAGAGGAGTGCAAATTAATGAATGCTGCTCATAAGGTTTTGATTTGAGTGGGAAACAAGCCAAAGCTCATTCACACATTCACATGCTTGCTGTGTGTAGAAAATGCAAAAATAGACATGTCTTCTTTTAGGAAAATGTGTGTGTGGAGTGCAGCATATTGTAAGTCATATGTTGTGCAAACCCTACTTTTCCTTTACCCTGACTACTCAGCTGACCTTAAAGGAGGAATTTAGAATAACAGATAACAGATAAGCAAAACACCAGAAATCTAATGAAAAACAACAACATGAACAGTGTTACACAATTCCTTCTGTTTACGCTTTGCAGGATGAAAAAAATGTAGGATGAGCTAACTCCATTATTTCTATTTCAATACAGACAATATGCTACAACTTAAGTAGACTAAAACATGTTGATTGAAAGCACATGTATTTCCAAGTGAGATCTCACAGCATGTTTTTAGGCCACAGACAAAAGCCTAAAAAATGGAAAACAGTCCCTTTTCTGTACGTGTACAGCACAAGTAGTGTTGTACATAATTTTGGCTAATTCCTTGATTTATGAGAAAGGGTTGTGCTTTTTTAGAGAGAGACAAAGTCAGTCACAGTGAACTGTAAAGTAAATGAAACAGTTACTCTGGCTTTGTAATGAGACTGTACTGCCGTGACAATTTAAGATAATTAAAATCTTGCCTGCTGTGTCCATGAGCTACATGGTTTCACATATGAGTTTCTCTAAGTGGAATGGGCAGAAAAACAATTCCTATCATCTCCACTAAGATAATAAAAATGGCATGCAACAACAGACCTGGGTTGCAGAGTATCTTGTAGACCTATTCTACAAAGACAAGAGCAAACCACAAAGACTAATTTGTGCTTTTCTGAGATTTCTGTCACGATTCCAGTCAAAGTTATTCACGATACCTTCGTAGAAATAAGACTTTCATCACACCAGGACATACTGTTATGAATCTGTCTTGCTCTTTTAAGTTTTAAAGGAAGCAGAAAATAGCCTGATGTTAATCTTTAATTATTTCACCCTACAGTATTAACAGAGGGAGCTATTCCAGCTGTCTAGACAGTTAATGAAACACCACAAGAGAGCTCCTGAAAAAGGAATAAAGAACTTAAATCAATTGGCCTTACATTTGTATGATTAGAATATTATTCTGTAAAACACTACAGTAAATAAAGTGAGATTATTAGTATCATAAAATAACACTGAGCATGTCAACAGTGAGAGATTCCTTTGGCAGGTTGACCTAATTAGTTTTCAGACAAATGTAATTTGGCTCAATACTGACATCTTTGCACATTGCAAACATGATCTTTTCAGGTGGTTTCTGGCTCTAGAATGGTTTATCACATATATCCAGTCCTTTGATGAAGAGATTACGATGCCATGTTTCTCTAGTCAACTTCAATTATCTGTGAAAGAGCAACGGCAGTTTGAGTCATTTCCTCTATGACTCAAACTACTGTTGGTGACCATGCTGTGATTATAGGAATTACCAAGACTTTCTGGTACTGACGGAAAAGCTTATTCAGAGTTTTATGATGGGTGACATGAAGTTTCATACCAGGGCACAGATTACATATTCAAGTTTGTTTATCTATTACTCAGAGATTCCAATAGATAACTGTAAGAAACAGAAAATGAAATGCACCAAGGTTACACTTGCTCAGTAGCAGCTGACAGACTTTTGCTGAACCCTCTGGTATAAGTATCTTCAAGTTATACTGCTGAATCTCTGCTGTATATGGAAGGCACATGACAGGGGGCCTTGGGGTATTCTGGTCATAAGTAAAGATTCAGCCTCAACTCTGAGCCTACTACTGAGCATTTGACTCCCTACCTCCAGGAAAGATAAGATTGTAGTTTGTAGTCCTAAATTATTTTGCAAACTAACTTGCCTTACAAGACTGTAATTCATAATAGCAGTTGAAAATTAGCCTGTTGGCTAACACTGGCACATTTACAGAGAGGTTAATTAATGTGCACTGTCCTTTTCAAATAAATAAATAAATGAAAAATAATGGGGTGTTTCTTTTTTGTTACCAGTCACAACTTACTAAAGCCATTTAATGATTTCAGTCTTTTCTGAAAAGTGAATTATCAGAATAGTAGCCACTAAATACTATTGCCCTTTTCCTTTGCTAATGAAAACATTAAGTTCTCAGACCTGTTTAACATTTTATTTACATGCACACAGCTTTAAGGGAGATGAGCCCAAAAACATCCACAAAACGTTATCATTGGGAAGTGTTGGTATAAACAACACATACAGTTACACCGAGGGATCAGTCTATAACAGGTATCCTTTTCATCATAATGACTGGGTTAGTTAAATGGTGGTGCACTATCACAAAGCATGGTTCAGGCTCTTGTTTGGCTTCAGATGACTTTAAGATTGCAAGGCCCAGAAGAGGATTGTCTTATACAGAGGCCTACAAGACAAGAGGTACCAAGTGCGTAGCAAGAGGGAAAGTTGCAACCTGATGTAGAGTCATATTGTTTTTTTTGTAACGCTGCATATGAAAATCAGCTGGTTAACAACAACAGGTGGGTAAAACCACTCTTCGGTCAATTATTCCTCCCTCACATCAAACTTATGTATTAGCTGCAGCATATGTGATGGCTGCTTTTGTGGCGTCATATATAAAAAGAAATTTTAAGTGCAGAATTAAAGGAGTAAAAAGAGAACTTGTTTTTAGATACAGAATTCTGTCTAGAATAAATGTGGTAGGAGAAATCAAAATTACATCCTAGTTTGACACCTGAAATCATATCAAAGTTCTTTTAGTTCAAAGCTGGTAATAAAAAAAAATAGCTCTGTCACCGCAGTATGTGAGCAAACCTCACTTCAAAAAGGAAATTATGTTACTGTGGGAAGGTGTGATAGCTATTTACCAGCCTTTCTGGTGACACATAAGAAGCTGGCAGGTATTCCCATTACATCAATGGAGCTTAGCAAATGTTCAGTCAAGAAGACCATTAGATTTTTTTATTTATTACTTCCTTCATTTTTAATTCTCTAAAGTGATGTTTCTTGGGTCCTACACGTTTCAATATTTTCCCACCACCCTGCATTTAAAATTCAAACTCAGTAAATCAGTAAGCCTGACCACATAATGTCATATGTAAATATATACACACACACACACACACACACACATATACATATATATATATATATATATATATATATATACAAATATCATGACATGATTTGCTTTCTTAAAGTCAGTTTAGAAATTTTGCAAACTGGATATAATAATACATATAATAGTATAATAGAACTCTTGTTTTTGGTTAAATCAGAAATAAAAAACCTGTTAAATCAAAGTATTCCTTCACATTAATGTAATATTATATGAAAATACAATGTTGCTATAAAGCAGTCCTCCCTCAGCTGCAGAGGTCTATTACACTTAGGGTTATTAAAAGAAATGGATGTCATTGTGTAAACAGTGTGGATCAACCTTTGACAGTAACCAAGCTCATATCATCTCACAGTAGATATCATCATACTGCTCCTCCTTGATCTTCAATTGACCCAATTAGTTGCACCAGTATCATGATGTCTGCATCTTAAAACCCTCACGCCACCAGCCTTTCACCTGCACCTGCTTTAAGACTTGATCTTGATTAAGAGTAATAATAACCAAAATGGGGATTATACTGAAGACCAATTATCAATCCTATAAACCAGCTTAATCCTCGATGATGTCTGCACCAGACTCTAATCTACTTTTTATCAACATATCTGTAAATCAATCTCTCCCGACTTAACTCTGTTTTAACATCCAATATGATGAGCATTTTGGGCCAGAAGGAGTAAAGTGTGATGCTTGCAAAATGTGCATATTTTAAAGAGGCTTGTGCAATGGTTGTAAACCTGTGCTTTAGTCCAACAAATTCATTAACGAACGTATAAAATAGGTACTTCTGTAAGTTATATGTTCCTGTGAATATATAGATTTGATTCTTCTTCAAGTTAAAATGTTAAAAAATGTAATGTATAAAAAAATAACCACTTGATATCACAGTTTTACTATGGCAATTCTTGACTGCAGTTGTCTGGCAGGAGTCCATCAATTTCTGGTGACCAAACAGTATAACTGGGTATCTATAGGTATCTCTGATGCAGGTGTTTGCTGTTGTTATAGCAAGTGTTAAACTCAAGGTAAGGACAGCAACAGTGAGGCTTAGCTAGTAACCCTAAGAGATATAGTTTCAAATGTGTCTGATATTTTGTTCACATCAGCTGGAGCTTAACATCAGCAGCATTGTCCATTACAATCTTTTTGAGTACCTACTCTCACAACTAGAACTACTATGAGTGTGATTTTGTTGGTGCTTTTGAGTGCCCTTGGAGTGTGACATTTAAGGATTTACGATTCAGTGTTACTCTCAGAAAAACACATAACGGGTAACAGTAAAAGAGAGAAAACAAGGATGTGTGTGCTACAAGGCACAGATATAATTTCCACAGCCAACTTCCTGCATGGCTCTAGCGTAGAAAATCTGAGCTATGTCAAGTGTTATTGACTCTCATGGAGTTTTGGCAAGAAAAGCAGCTGCATTGCAGTCAAATAAAGGGAAAGCACACTCTTCTCTTCATCATCCTTCAGGGTCACTTTCTCCTGCATTAATCCACTTAATCTCCCTCAGTCACCTTTACTACTCATTTTCACTACAGTCAGTACCAACAGGCCAAACATGACAGCTTGCAAATCATGTCCTTTATCCTCACAACCAAACCAACGGGGATCTGAGTCTGTTCCTGACAGGAAGCTGGGGCAGAAACCAAATGTCTTTCCTGCTTAGATCAGCAGGGGTAGGAAGAAAAGAGAGTCAAAAATCTTTTTAAACGTCCCCGCCCATGACTGAGAGAGCTGGCCAAAATGAAAAACATTCACACCAACGTTCAGACATCACACTATGTGACTTTTATACATCCGTGACCAGCACTGACATTTCTAATGCAATGGTACTTTAGCTTTTCCCCTCAGCTGCCCCTTACTATTGATCTGTCTCACTAAACAAAAGACTAACACTTTACACAGCTGGAAAATAGGTGACTTCAAAGAAGCATTAAAGAAACTAACTTTTCAGGTTTCGCTGCTGCACCCATGGAAAAGCAGGGTCTGGGAGTTACTCCATACGTTTAGGTACTGGCTCAGTTTAGTCATATTGTACTACTTATATGGGTATAGTTTTTTACTGACTCACCCGGAGTGTCCCCGAGGCAAACAGAGCTAATGTTTACCACAGGATGTGCACTTACAGAATCTGAATTGGTGTACCGCTGAGTAAGGTAACTTGAAAGCACAACAATGTGAAATACCTGTAAATGGTTATAGCACGATAACTTTACTTGGCATTAGCTTAAGTTGGTTAACATTAGTTCATCTAACATTAATGCAAAACACGTCCAAAGATGCCTGTTAACTTTTACGCTAGCTGTAAAAGAACAAGGAGTGCCAACTAAAAATAACATTGACATTTTACACACTGACACAAAGGTTTTGTAACTCTAGCCTCCTGCCGTTAACACACAATAACACTATGTATTAACACAGCTTTTATCAACATTAGCCAGCCATAAACCGCTAGCTACTGGCGCTAAACGAGGCTAGCTGCTAACGATACATGACAGTTGCTAGCTAAAAGAAAAAAAAGTTCTCCAAACCTGGCTGGCTTTATAAAACTGTTTCTTCAAGCCCGCTACAGACATCTTGAACCCCGACTGTCTTCAAGTTCCGACGCTGAAGTTGTAAGTAGGTCACAAAATAAGTAAAGTTAGCGGTATAGTTTGTGAGAAAAGGGGCCAGTGCAGCAATGTTTAGGAGGAATCATAGGACTGTACAGCCGTCACTCCAAGTCGGGACACGCCAACTGACCACGTCCACGTCGAGGGTGATTCTCCCCCACTGCCACCGCAGATACCGGGGGCGAGATGTGCAAAACCCTCCACAATCAACAGTGTTATCCCCTGACCTTAAAACCCAAGCACGAACCGTCTAAGGTAGATTGGTACGATATACGGAGGCCCGATTCTGCACAAGCCACTTTGAAGAAATCAGTTTCCCGAGTTTACATAGCAGATTGTGAATGATGTTTAGATTGGTGCACACTGCCCCCTGCTGTATGTAACAGGCACACACCCCTCATCCGTCTGTCTGCTGGAGGTTCCAGATGCTCACGATTTCATGCAATATATTTACACCCTTGTAATGCCCGAGACATAAAGAATGACTAGGCCAAACTCGTATGGAAGTGATGGCTTGAAATGTGGCTGGATGCAAAAATGGGCTGCTGGCTCCCTGTCTTAATCCCCCTTCCATCCCACTTTTTGTGAAGTGTGTTTTTCTGTACTGGTATAGCTTTGCCCTAGATTTTCTGTGGTCATTTTAAAGAAATGCAACATACAAAAACAAAACCGTCATTAAAATGGTCTTAAAACTAGGTTTTGTCACAAGAAGACCAAAAACTTTTCAATACAGGCCTGCAAAATTAGGTAATAAATAAATAATTAGGTCATAAAAGACCCATTTTTAGGCCTCTATCATTAAAGTCTGTGTTGAGTTTCAGTCATTCATAACCTCAAGCAAAATTTAAATCAAATCAGCAAAAACCATCTGACATATAGCAGGCCTGCAGCATTTTGAGGCAACCTTTAGTTCTGGGGCCCCAAAGTGGTTGCGCAAAGCAGTTGCCTTATCTGGATGGTAATCTAGCCTTTACTTGTAAATGTCAAACTCCCATCTTTGTTCACCACCAACATTATCTTACCAGATAGTTTTGGATCTGTGTAATGAGGTTTTATAAACATCTCTGAGATTTCTGATAACACGATGAAGGTGGGCTGAATTAGTGTCTGTGTCCCATTGGCTGTAAACAAATTAAATGACCTTACTAGGAACAAAAACGTACTCAAGGAAAACCGATGGGGTTTATGAACCCCAGCTTGAGAACCAGAGTTATTATCCACTATATGTTGGTGATAATGCACTAGATGTTTCCAACATAGACCATCATTTACCTCCTTCTTTTATGTAGAGTATGTAGACCGGAATGACAAAAAACTATAGACAGGCTTTATTTTGAAGAGGCTCTTTCAGTACAATAAATTTTGACATAAGAGAACAGTAGTATTCGTAGATCTAATAGTGTATAATCTAAGTGTGTAATGTCAGCATGGTGTTGTGAATGTCATCTAAAGGACAGCTAAAATAGATTTATTATGCAGCAACAGAGTAACTGTATTAATCTAAATAAGTCAGAAATTGCAATTTTATGCTCCTTTTTAAACTGCTTCTTTACCTTTGGTCTAAAATTGCCCTTTAATGGCAAATTAATACTTTTTTTCCAAACTTATTCCCAGTATGTACAATGACTTCTCCAGAGAGCCTGTGAGGAGTTGGAGAAACTTCCAAGACAACCAGTTCTAAGCACCATATCTGGTTTCCTATAGATATGATGCTTAGAATTGAGACCTAACAGTTCAACCTTGGTTTCACAAGACCAGAGAATCTTGTTTCTCACAGTCTGATTGTCCTTAAGGTAGTTTTTTTGGGTTTTTTTTGCAACTTTTGGATCGGTGGAGTGCTGCAGTGGAAGTTTCTCCAACTCCATTTAGTATCTCTGGATCTCAGCCAGAATGACCATCAAGTACTTGGTCACTTCTCTTGCCAAGGCCCTTCTTCCTTGATTGCTCAGTTTGGCGAGCCACCATCTTTAGAGTCCTGGTGGTTCCAAACTTATTCCGTTTAAGAACTATGGCGGCCACTCTGCTCTTCGGAACCTTCAATGCAGCAGAAATGTTTTGTAGCCTTCCCTGTATCTGTGCCATGACTCAATCTTGTCTTTTATCTCAGTTTGGCTTGGTTTTGGTTTTTGTTCTGATATGCATGATAGCTGTGAAACCTTATATAGACAGGTGTGTGCCTTTCCAAATCAATTAAATTGACCACAGGTGGACTCCAATCAAAGTGTAGAAACATCTAAAAGATAATCAAGAGAAATGGGCGGCACCTGAGCTAAATTTGATATTTCAGTTTTTCCTTCTTAAAAAATGTGCAGAAATTTATAAAATTCTGTTTTCACTGTCATTATTGAGTGTAGGCTGATGAGAGAAAAAATGTTTTCAGTTTCGCATAAGGCTGCAACATAACAAAATGTGAAAAAATTGGGTCTGAATACTTTCTGAATGCACTGTATTACCTGACTAAAAAGAAAGTGTATTAAAAATGTGTATAATGCACCTGTGATAAATGTATTATTTTATATGACTATAGAATATGACATGTTTATTTATAAATAGCAGAACTGATAAATTTCAGTTTTACAGGATAAAAACCATAACAACTTTTTCTCTTAATTGTAAAAAGACTTTTATTACATTCTTAAATCCACATATTGTATCACCATTGTGCAATAACACTTTACTGTGTTAAAACCTCTTGGGCTTTATATCCATGACATATCATAAATTATTTCTTATTAAAATCTATATTGATTTAATAATAATAATCTTAAAATAGAGTGAAAATATCATAAACAGAAGGATCATGACAAAAGAGAAACTTTTAGGGAGACATCTTTAAAAATGCTCTTTTAAAAAAAATAGAATTACATCTCTCCAAGACAAAAAGGACACTAAACTGATAAGAAAAAAAACCCAAACAGTACATATAAGGATAAAAATTAAGAAACAAAAAGATCACAACAAAACCAACACAAGATTCAGAGATTATAATCCATCTTTTATATTTATTTTACTATATATATTTTTTTAATATCCTATTTTATCTAGTACTCAAACTTGAAAAAGTCTTGCAATAATGATATTAGACAGGGGTAAAATCTTTGATACTTCTGTAATCAAACATTCACTAGAACATGTACTGTACACAGTGATCAAGGTTTTAAGGTCTTCTATGTTGGTGCAAGGTGTCTTGCTAGCTAGACTAACTGCAGACACTGTAGGACAGAGAGCCCAGCTATCTCCCTGAGTAACTCTAAACGGAAATGTAAGTGCAGATCTCCAGGACTGCTCCCCGGACAGATTCCAGGCCTGCAAAAACTATAAAGTACACTGAATCTCTCGAAATCAGCATGTCTAACATTCTCTGACTTTAACACACAAAGTATTGCACTTTGTTACAATCTGTAAGTGTCATCTGGCCATGTCAGCTGGTAGCTGACCTGTGGCGTAGTTGGCTGTGTATTTGGTACGTTATATTCTAAATAACATTATTTTGCTGTGCTGCGAGGTTGACTATGCTGGAGTGCTTATGAAAATATTAACTGTAATACATGGCAGCAAAAGTCCAACACATTGAGAACAATGGGAAAGACATTATTGCACAATCCCACTATGCCACTGTCTTATGTACACAGTAAAAAGGGTAATACCCCTTCATACTGTACTTATAACTTGATGTATGGGGAAAAGCACTGTCCCAGCAGTGCAAAGCAAACCTGGCTGAAATATTAAATAAAGCTAGATATCCAGCATCGGTCATGTGATTGTCTTAAAATGCTTTAGAAAGAAATTAACACCAGTGACTTCTTAGATTAAAACTATCCTTTTATCATAGCTTCTTCAGTATACTGATAAGACAATGTAGTTTTACAGAAACACAATATGTTGCCCTACTTTGAAGATAAAGGTTTAATCTGACCACACCCTCATGTACCTCCAGAGACTTTACTTCAGATAGATCTGTATCTATGTAGGGCTTCCTGTGCCTTAAGGCTTGAACTGCTCTCATGACAGAAACAGTCAGAGAGGGTGTCCTTAGTATAAGTAGATCCAGCATTTCAGTTTGCTTTTGTCTTCTGTCCAGTTAAGAGCAAAATTATGCATTATTTTAAGGATAGTTTGGTCATCACTGGCCTTCAAATTTCACCACTAATTGTAATATTTTTAAAGAAGCTTCTTAGTATAAACGCAGAAATACTAACTCAGGGGGGTAGCTGATGGCTCTGTCAACCCTTTTCTGTGCCATGTAGTGTTTGAAGAGGGTGAGGTAGTAAGGGAGTAGGAAATAAGGAACAGAGAATTTAATTCTCCAATCATAACATCTTGGCTGTCTGTGACAGCACAATCTGCCTGACCCCAAAGCAGTGAGAGCTGAGACTGACGGTGAATCCCTCTAACTGATGTCTAAGGAGCTTAAATAACACCATCACCCACCTGTCCACTCTGTATTTTTTGCCCCTTATTCAACCATGTGGGTGTTGATGTAGTTAACTGTCACATTTCAACGTCAAACACTTTTTTTTCAGGATGCCCGAAGACACTCTTCTTTGGAGGAGGCTGTGGTGTGACAGTCCAGATGCTCCTCCATCAGAGCACATAACCCCACAGTGGTCGGCTGCCCAGCACCTTGTTCATACAACTTGTTTACAGTAGGAGGGTGTATCTAGCATTTCTGACTGGCTTAACATTAAGTTTCACAGATGGCAGTCTGAGTGCGAACCCGTAAAATATTGTGCCAAGAGTTCATTTTGGATTCTAACAAGGACTCATAAGTGCTAATTATCCAGTAGATTTTCTTTTCAATGACAACAATCTTTTCATCCCAGAACCACAAAGTATGGGCAGGCAGTATCTGTTTGAGAGACCCAAGCACAAAAACAACATTACCCTCCTCCTCTTCACTCTGTATGAATTCACAACTGCTCTTATGTTACATGATAATATAGGTATTACTATATATATATATATATATATATATCTATGTTTATATATATATATATGTAAAAAAAGGAACATCTGAAAATACTTTCACAACACCTCTGTGATTCTCTCACTCTCACTCTAAGTGGCATTTGCAAAGGGAAAAGGTATTAGGACTGAGGTCATTGATTGCATTAAAAAAAAATAAAGAGCTCACATCAGTGTCTGAGGGTGTGCTCGTAAAAATACCTACAAAGATCAGCATAAGTGCTATGTTTTGTGCTCTGTGTGCAAGCGTTTGTAGGTGCATGGCAGCAGACACTGAATGTTTGCCCATGATTCACACAGTTTAAAAACCCTGTCTGCTTGTGAGTTTGATCATGGTCCCTTTAAACAGTTTGTTCATATGTTACAAAACTGCAAAATATGGGCACTACCAAAAATGTTGAACAATAAACCGTTACTAGACTGACAACTGAAACAGGCATCGTTACTGCAAACCTCCACAAAGTGGGTGAGGATTTTAAGTATGTACATTCTACATCAAGCCTAGGGCTGTGCTGAACGGTAAAGGGAAAAGGGGGTACATTCAAAAATAGCTTACAGGAACTGTGAGAACGATAAAAGTCAAATTTATATTATAAAGGAATTCAGCTTGATAAGAGGTTTAAGGTCTCCTCATAGAAAAATATTTTTTTATGTAGGCTTCTATTTAATCTTTTCTTTAACTCCCTAAAAAAGAGGTAACATGCACTGAGCACCCAGCAGGAGTTCCTGTGGTGTTATGTTGAAGCTGAAAGGACCGCCTTGCAGGGCAGTGTAAGCTACTCCACAAGGTTGGGAGTTCAGAGGTGAGAGGAGTGTGTCCTAAAGTGTAGCGTGCAGGATTGTCATTGAGCTGCTGGTTGATTTTGCCTCAGCTGGTTGCCACATTTTTTTTATCTCCCCCCTCCCTAAACCTCAGTGTTTCTATTTGAATCAAGCTATTTAGCTAAGTGGTGCTAGCCCTCCGTGGAATCTGGGAAGGTGATTTCACTCCCAAAAACCTCCCTATACAGAGGAGGAAAGGTATATGCTGTTTCAGGGTGAACCAGACGGAAAAACTCCAGTTTGTCGATGTGAAGGTTGCAAATGGACTTCATTATAGGAAGCTTCGACACCATCTAGATGGGACATATAGAAAAGGTGTGAAAAATGATTAAATTAATGAATTAATACAGTAGGTTAACAAATCAAGTGGCACAGTAGTGCAGCAGGCTCTGTACCTTAGCTAGTTTGTCTTCCGACGCTCCCTCTTTTTGTAGACAGCGCTGCAGAGCCACATAGACTTTGTCCTGCAATTTCTGTATCTTTTGGACATCTGTGAGCCAGGGTCGGTCTGATGGAAATGATAATGAGAAGATGATATCATTAGTGTTGTCATGTCGCCAGTCTAAAACTGCATCTGGCAACATTTACAATGTAATGTCTAGGAGCAGAATACAAAATGCATTGAGCAATACATGAGTTTTGGAAGATGAATTACTGGCCTACACATTTTTCAACATGATCTCCTTGACTTGAGGAAGCTGTTGGCTTCACAATGCAATAGTAATTAGATTACAGAGACATTAAAATTGCTTGAGATAGGTGAGCTATTTGATGCCAAATGTCTCACCTCGTTACGAGTTTGACTTTGAAACTCCAACATTCAAAACTGAGGCCACTAAAACATGCCATGTTGCCATGCCATGTTGTTCCAAATTTTCATTTCATAGTTTGGAAAATTGCTAACAGTAATCTATATTATTTACATCTAATGTGCTATTACATTCCAAAGCACGGGTGCATATTAAAAGTTAAATCCATAATTATCCTATCATCTCTTTTGTGTAAGAGGCCTCCCCATGTCATTCTGTTTCCTTGTGAAAAAGGTTTATCATACCAGAGGCCTATAGCTGGCAAACAGACAACTATAACATCTAATTACAATGGTAATTAGCCCTGCTATTGTTAGTTGACATTAGATGTCCTGATTCATCTGCTGAGTGCACATGTACTGCAACCTTTAGAAGTGCTGGTTAACACTTATGATTACTGACCTCAGTCTGCCAAGAAGAGCTTTACATACATGAAATGTGTGAAATACAATGACCTCTTTACAGGTTTCACCAATTTAGTTTGAATGTAAATACTACAGTGCATAGGAATCTAGGCCTTTGCAAGGCTGATACAGGACTTAATATAAAATACATCTATTTAGTTCGAGAAATACCTGGTGAGAGGAGCACAGCAGCACTGAAAAGAGCCATCTCTTCCTCTGACATCTGTATACGGCTCAGGCTTTTAGCCAAGTCAAACACTGCATTCACAAGGTCATCACAGCCTAGGTAGAAGAAGGGGAAAAATAAAGATCACCAAAACAAAAACTCACAGACTGTGATGATTCTGACACAGATGAGAAAGAGAAAAAGTTAAGCTCAAATCCCCTGTTCATCCTTTTATCGAGTTTATACATTCGTTTCCCATGAGAGAAAGAAAGATAGTGAACATGTTGACTCACCGAGAGCTTTGAAAAGCTGGGCGGTGGCAAATTTTCCATCAAAGAGCAATGTATTGTTGATGGGGTTGTAAGCCCGACACATACGGATCAGAAGAACATCCATGCAGCCTGTGGACACACGCAAAAGAGAAAAAAAGAAAAAAGCTTAGCAGCATATTCATGTTGAAATTGTTGCTTGGCTGATGCTTTTGGAGAAAAAGCCTCAACATTTAAAAAATCCTTGCTAAATACTTCACTAGGCTATGTTCATCAGGTAACCATATAGTGCATTTGAGAACTGACTGAAAGTTTTCATATTTAAGACACAAGTTTGCTATGGATAAATGTAAAGGAACAGTAAAATATAATCTAACTTTGGATTCATTTATATAATCTGCTTTGTAAAGACTTCTGTTTTGTACTAGATAATACAGACAGCTACAGAAAAATATGCAGAACTGAATCAAGAAGAATGTTGTACAAAAAACAGCAAAGTGACAACAACATAAGGTCATAGCACTTGGAAAATAACTGACACTATCACTGACATTTGTACTCCTGCATGTGGCAGGAAGATGTCCTATATTTGAATGTGATGCTGGTTGAACCTGCCCTGTCTTGATTATATAGAGTGAAACAGCCTTTAACGACAAGATAATTATATATAATTTACTGGGGGAACTTTGAATGAGGGAAATTGTGATCAAGGTATATAATGCAAATTGTCATTAAGTCATTCTCGATGTAGGAAATCTTTGTGCATGTGCATGTTGGTCGTTGATGGTCGTTGCATCTTTTATACTGCCAATCTTGATTGAGTGCTGTTGTGGATTTGACACATTAATGTGTGATGTATTTCAATATTGTTAACCAGCCTTGATTCACAAAGAGATCTTTCTCCAACCTCCAAGTGTTAGTCTATGGGTTTGAAAACTTCAAAACCTTCAGATATTTCTTGCCACATCATCTAATTAGTCCAATTAAACGCCTTCTGAAAAACATGTTGTGAATGTGCCCTTGCTTCTTTCATCTTCACAAAAATGAGGAAGAAGAATATCTTGGCTGCCTCTCAACACCTGTAAACTACTTGGACTGATCTATTGTCATGGGTGTCACTGGAAACCTTCTTGATGTTGTTTCCAAAACATCAAGACCAGGCCTGATGCTGCATGATTAAAACAAGGTCAGCCACTTTTCAGAAAAAGAACAACTATGCACCCCTTCAAATCACTCTGCACGCATGTGATATTTGAACTCTGTGAACTCAGCTACCACTTGAGGGTAGCATACTGTTCATATGACAACAGCTATCTTTGTCACAGCTAAAAGTTTGCAAACTAATAAACATACACACAGCAGGCTGGCTGTCTTGCTGGTGGTGGCACATCTCTTGTAAAAACAGCTCCTGACTGTTATGTGGCTAAACACAATGTGAGGAACTGACTTTCAGCATGCAAGGAGTGTGTATACTGGTGTCATGCTCTGACCTGCTTTGAGGAGGATAATCTGATCGTTCTGACACAGGTCCATGAAGCCAGAGATGCGCTTGGCAAACTCTACCACATACTGGATGGCATTGGTGATGTGAATGGCACATTGTTGCCACATCACCTCAGCTGACTGAAAGACAAGGCAAAAGATAGAAAGGCTTTTATGAGAATTGCAACACTTGAGAGACATCGGACAAGCTGTATTCCATGGTTGTTTGTTGAATCTTAGACATCAAGGATTGTCTAGTTGTGTGATCTGATTTCAGCTAAAGACATCTTGGCCTACAGGATGTTTGACAATAGCCTCCATGCTTGACAGACAGAAGAGAAGACAGAAAGGATTTACAAACCTCAATGTTAAGAAAAAAAAAATGGAGCACTTCTCTATTTGTTTTTAGAAAACATCTTTCGAGAAGTTTTGCTGTTGATTCTTGTACAAGGTTAAAAACTGAAAACATTCCCCTCTTAACCTTGTACAAGACAACAACAGGGCATAATGAGCCAAACTTTAGTGCTAAAATGTATTATGTGTGATTGTAACAGTTATTTGTTTATAGATTTAGACTGTAAAGAGCAGTTCATAATACATTTTACTCAAACTCATTTCAAACATCAAAGTAGATAGTGGAGACTTTCAACAGATTTTGTGTGTATAAATGAGGATCTGCTGTCAAATGCTTGCAAGTGGATATTAAAATGTCACATATACCTTGGTCTGGTATGAGCGTGTCTCCTCTGGGCTATACAAGGTCCACGCCATTCTCTTTAGCTCCTCTGTGCTGTACTGGCTCGTCTCAATATGGGACTTGACCACACTCTGGGTTATACGCTCTAAACAGGAGCAAACATTTGTCATTTCTCTGAAAAGATCACTTCTTAACTTCTTCTATGACAACAATACTAAATCACTTTATGCAGCATTTACTGGAACAAATGACAAGGTATCTCTTTTCACCTTCATAGTTATTGTTAAATTTTAAATTGATTTAAGGTTCGAGCTTTCCTGGATCTATACTGACCTATCTCAAGCAGGGAGCAGCCCCCGGGCAGTGGGTTCAGGATAGCATGTGAGAAGAGTCCAGAGTCATGTAACAGCTGGTACTCATGCTTGATGCTGTGGTTGCCGTCTACAAAGTCCAAGTTGGTCTGTTCTGGTGAACTCTGAGAGGACGAGCTGCTGCCTGCACTGCCACCCAGTAAGTCCAGGTTACAGTACTCTCCACCTGCATCCTCTGGGGTCAGCGGCAGGTCGAAAAGCAGGCCTTCCGGCAACGTGGTAATGTCATCCAGATCACTGAGCGCAGTGCTGGAGCCTCTTCTGTAGGGGCGGCTGAGGTCGGCCATGTCACTATTCTCCTCATGGGCACCAATGCCTGCACACTCCTGGGCCTGCTGGTGCTTCTGAACCTCTGCATACAAGCTGTCACGCTGCTTTTTGGACATTCGACCAAACTTCACCGCTGCAAAGATGATACAAGGACAAAAATGAAACATTCAAGAAGGTAAGGGCTCTGTCAAACAAGGTTATTCATGACTCATTCATTGTAAAAAGCAAAAAGCAGGAGGTGGAAACTCTGAGTTAATTAGATCTAGATGGAGTAGCTGAACTCACCATCACGGCTCATGCCCAGAGCGAGACACTTCTGCAACCTGCAGTGCTGACAGCGGTTACGATTGGTCCGGTCAATTAGACAGTTCCTCTGTCGTGAGCAGGAGTACATTGCGTTGTTCTGTTGGCTGCGTCGGAAGAAACCCTACAGACGAAGAGACACACAATGTGAGCATCCAACGCAACATCTATTGCATGTTATAGATCACTGAGTACATTAAAGCTCGGTTTTAATGTTGGTTTGATAGCTCACCTTGCAGCCTTCACAGGTGATGACACCATAGTGAATCCCTGATGATTTGTCCCCACAGATTTTACAGGGAATCACCTCTATTTGAGCTGGAGACAGAGAAGAATGAGGGGGAAAAAATCAGTGAAATACTAAAATACATTTTTTAATAGATATGGGACCTAAAAACAATAGTTCAATTATGCAGTCAGTTACCCAAAAACAAATAAATATATGTATTTATTGAGAGAGAATATTATTAAATACTAATTGCTGTCATTCCATAATAACAGGCATAACACTGTGTATTTCTTTCATTTCGTACAATGACCTAGATCTAAAGTGATAAGCCAACTAATCAGTAATTCAATCAACAGAAAACTGGTAATTATTTTGAAAATCAATTTATCTTTTGAGTAATTTTTTGAGCAAATGCCAAACATTTGTCTGTTCCAGCTTCTCCAGTGTAAAGATTTGGTTCTTTTCTCTGTTCAACATCAATCTGAAATGAATATTTTTGAGTTTTGAACAGTTGGTCAAATAAATCAAGACATTTCACTGATAATAAAAATATCGATTAGTTGCAGCCTCACAGCCTTGCAATGATACACAGCATGTGAAGAGATTGCATCTGTTGCCATTATTTAGCAATATCAAGCAATATGAACATAAATAGAGAAACCCAGCCCACAGGTATGTAACAAGTAAACATATATTTGGATATTGTCCAAAAGCACTGCGATAAAGAGGTGATTTTGCTAGTTACAGGAACATTCAACATTTACTTTTTAGGCCTATCATGCTGACTGCAGTCAATAAAACACCTCAGCCATTTCAAATGAAGTGGGCACTATATAGCAAATCAATATTTCCTTTCTTTTTAAACTCAAACTGAACTAAAAAAAACACCACAAACACCTTACATGTGATACTATATGGTACAGGTGGAACATTCTCACAAGAATTCAGGTTATTTCATGAGTCAAATGTCATCTGTGCAGTATAAGCTTTGAAAATGAGTTAACAATACTGATACATGTGTGATAATGTTAAAGCAGTATGAAGAAATGTGTCAATAACACAAAAGGAAACTGTGTATACATTATGCACCTTGTGTTCTTTGTGGAAGCCTGAGCCTTCTTACTCAGGAACAGCCTGTTCTTTTCATTATGTTGTTTATCTAAGTAGCTGGGGCTCCTCAAGCCCAGAATAGCAGGTCAATTGCATTAGCTGAGGCCCGGGGTTATAAAGTTTCGCGTCTCTCTCTCTCTCTCTCTCTTGCTCTGCCACTCCTGGTTCAGGATGAACGAAATGTTAGCAGGTTAACAAAGACATACTGCCGTGCTGAACCTTCCAAGCCCTACATTTGTAACCCACAAAACAACTGCAACCCACGGTTACCATGAGGACTGTGTGCAAGATTTGATTTGGCTTGGGCTGCAGGGTGTGCCAAACAATCCCTAAACCACTTTTGTTGGATCACACAGGGTATTAGGTAACCTGTAAATCGCTGCGAAGGCTTTAACCGGCCTTCACAGCTCTTCACAGAAAATTGCTGTTTTCTAAAGGTTTTTTTTATAAACTGCTCACAATCAACCGATCACATGAGTCACTGAGCGTGGGGAGGGACATACGTCACGCACTGAGGCAAAACAGGAGGTTAGTGACTGACTTTACCCTGAAAACCATGACTAGAGAAAAAAATTGTCTACATATTCCCTCTAAAAAGACTTTCTGTGCAGTACAGGTGACATATTTGAATGTCTCGATTGGGTAGAATCCCTGCCGGCCAACGAAATGAAACTGAGGGATATAAATAAATAAAGGGCAATGGAAAAAAAATCCCTTTCTCCATTGCTCCCTTTATCGCTCCCCCTCCAGAGCCTCACCCCCGCCCTCCAGCCTGTTATATAACTGCCGTCTGGCCGCATTCCATGAACACACTCATTCAAAGGTGGTTGTCTTGGCAACGGTGTGACGTTCCTCCCTCACCCTCCTGCGCTCTCATTCGCTGCTGAACGAGAGGGCTTTTGTCTGTGACTTGCCGCCTCACCTGCCAGTCAGCTGAGCGGCACAGTCAGGCCCAGAGAGCAGGAGCTGCTCCACTGACACAGTTTCCCATTCAGTGAAGTGGGAGGCGCTAGTGGTAGCAGCCTCACAAGGAACACAATCTGGTTTCTTGCAAGTTTTAAGGTGGAACCAAATGTGACTCAGACTGTAAGTAAAGGGAGGGTGGAGGCCTCCTCTTTGAAATGAAAACAATGTAAAATTTGATTACTGAAAGATGGATGACCAGTTGAAACTGACAGGGTCAAACTACCCCACTAGAGATTTTACAGCTTGCACAACATCTGGAAATATTTCCAAAAACATCTAGTACAGTAAGCTGCAGCAGGGGGAACAGACGTAGCTAATAGTAGCTCTCAACTTGTTGCAGCATGTCAAGTATTTGAGTGAAATTTCAGCTGTGTTTGAGCTAGACCATAAATCTATTTTTACTCTGCTGCAGTTGGCTGCCCAAAGGTTCCTTCTGTCGTTCTGGTCTATTAGCAAATAAATGTTGCACAAATCATAACATTGAACTGAAGTATACACTGTTTAGTGTAAATAACAGTGCAGTCTAGAACAGTTACTACACTGGTCTAGTGACAACAGTCTACTTTGTGAGCATTCATTTTTTGGTTTGTTATGCTGCAAAATGGGTGTGAATTTCAGCTCATTTATTTTCATCATTGAGCCCATTTCCATGAACCAGGCAAAATGCTCTCAAACAAACAAGTATAACACCACTTCTGTTTTTTAATTCCTAGTAACATCTGAAAAAGCACATTTGTTTAAACAAGCTCCAGTTATTAGACTTTTTAGACTTAAGAATTATAAACTTAACTCGGATTGGTGAATACTAGCTTGAATACTAGCTTACAGTAACTGTATAAATGAAGTTTAAACGATATCCAGTGAATATGTTAAACAGACATTTGACAAAACATAATTTTAAGTAATTTTCTTGTGCAGGAGTGATGCTAAAGTGAGGATGAATACATGGTATCATAATGTTTGGAACCTCACTGCAGAAAATCATCATTTCACATTGAAGGTTATTGTAATTTAAAAGTCCTTTCTGTGTCAGTCAGTCAGTGTGTTGGTGTGTCAGTGACTGTTGGTCAGCATTTTTCCTCATTGGTGCTGTAAACCCTCGGCTAGGGAGACTTCGCCCTCTCATCCCAGCTAATCAAACAGTCCAAGGTCCTATTTATCTTGCGCTTTACATGTACCTGACATACTGTATACCTAACCTACATTTGAGAGGGCTTCTGGGGGCCTCTGTGGGATGAATGACATATATGGTGTATTGTGCAACATACTATAACGGTTGTACAGTCAAAGTTGGCAGTTATTTAATTAAATATACAGCCATGCCTCCTGTCTGTCATACTCTCTTTTCACATATCCCCCAATGCATGGCCTCAACTACCACCTGTTTTCTATATAGCTACTGTATGTGGACAGTAATGACTGTTTTTTCTCTTCTTCTCCTCCCACTGACCTACCTACCTAGCACGGATCGTATAATATGGCCTGACATTAACCCCCAAGTCTTTAAAAATGCACTGCAGGTTTAGGTAATTACTCAGCAGATGCAGTAGTGGAATGAGAGGTATTCTTGTACAGCGGGTCCATCACAGAAACCAGTATCATGCATCGCTCTTAACGCATCGCGCTTCACTGTGGCCATGTTGCCGCGTTTTTTTAATGCAGTAGATTAAAACTGAATAGGATCTGTGTTTTTGTGTGTTCTAAGAAATGTTTCAGCTATATTTACACTGACTGTAACTGGAAGCCAGCACGGTCATGGTATGTACATTATGTTCCAAGCGGCAAATAAGAGACACACATGGCTACAGAAAATGTAATTAATTTAACATTCATTTTCATGTAATAGATTCATTCAACACAGGTGCAATATCTTTCCTTATGACTGGAATTATTTCATTTTGTCTTTCTGAAGAAGAAAATATTCTCTATTTTTATCTGCACACATCCCAAATTAGAGGTTATATGGTATGTAGTATACAGTATAGCTGTCAGCCCAACCATGTACTGAAACTGTTTTTTTTTTCACTTTTTATATTTCCCTTTCTTTTTTGTTGCATTCCTTTAGTTTTATGCTATGGGTTATCCCACTGATAAACAATGTAAACAATATAAATATGTTAATTGAGTGACTTGATATAAAACTATACTGTGAAAACAATTTTCTCAACCCATGAGTAAGGTTTACTATTCTCCATACTTACACCCTTCCCCACTTTTCCTGTAATGAATATTCACATGCTGAACAACAGTGCTCTACCTGCCAAGAGACGCAGCCTCACACTTTGTGCCTGTGTAATCCCTTCCCATTGATCAGAAAAGATAAAGTGCATGGGCTTGATCATGCTGTATGTGCAGTGCCAAGCCAAAAGCCAAGAGGGCCTCTGCCACAGAAGAAAAACCAGACTGAGGAATTCAGTACACAGCATGCAAATCTGCTTGCTGCTCCAAATCGCAGGAACAAATTTAGGACCATGCTGCAGCAATCACAGTCACCTTGACTTAAAATCTCTTTACGTCTGTTTAGATGTCAGTTATCCTTCTGCATACTTGGAAAATAGATATTACCTATCAAAATGACTTTCCCTTATGATAGCACTAAACATAAACAAATGTTACAGAGCAAAATATTATTTTTAAGTAATCACTGTTTACCTTAATGTGTTGCAAAATTAAATGTACTCATAAGACCCAAAAAGGCACAGATCCATACTAACATGCAGGCTGGTTGAAGAGTTAAAGCTTTAGATAAGAGGAGTGGAATCTTAGCATGGAGTTGTCAGAGAGAAAGGGCACCTTGACACATACTGTAGCTCGCTGTGAACTTCCCCAAGGCTGCACACTCAACAGATAGTGGCTTTGAGCCTGAGCTCAGCACAGCAGTGTCCTGGGAGAGCAGAGTGCGGGCCTTTTATCTTTACTGCTACTGTACCTTTGATCCTAGGCTAACTGAGCTCCAACACAGTCTTATATGTCTTCAGCTGTGCACATCATCAGTACACGGAGGCATAAAATCTAAGGGTGCTTCTTGGAAGTTTGTTTATTTGATTATGTTACATCATACCTGCAGAACCTGTTTGTGCAACAGTTTTCAAGAATAAGTCAGAGGTAAACAAGTACAACAGAACTGCTAATTGCAATCTATCAGGTGTTAAGGGTGACTCAAATATTTAAACACTGCGTGTGACCTTCACACTCTAGACTATTTTATGTTTTTCTCCTTTATATAGTAAATTTAGCTGAAAACTGGCTATGACATTGTAAATTATGTAGTATTTTTTTCAAAATATGACTGACAAGCTGTGCTTGACTGGACTAACATACACTCTGGTTGATGTAAGTAACCTTAGCTGACAGAGGAAACTGAGCTTAACTGAGCCCTGCTGTGCTTCATGGTTAAATGTGGGCTTGCTGTGCCCATATCCTGCTTGTTACAGTGGTGCATGGCTCTGACATCATGACACCACAAAAATAAATCACTTTTGTCTATTAATTCTTATAAGTAAAAATATATGTCAACAGATTTTTAAAATATATTTCATAAATGTAATCTTTGTCACAGAACTAGTAATAAAGTAGTAATAAAAGTAGTAAGTACTAGTTATAAATAATAAAAGGCAGCAGGCATCTTAAGATGCACTGAAATCCGGATTTTCCACTACAGCTCATATCTACAATATCTAATAGGGGAACATTCACCACTGAAAACAGATTTTAAATTATCAACATTGTCTCATCAGTAATGACGACAGACCATGACCCTCCACCCATCCACGCACGCACGCACACGCACGCACACACACACTTGCTGTAATCCTCAATGACAGAACTAGGTCAATGGAGCACCTCCTATCTCTCCCTCTACCACCCCTCCCCCCTCACCCTGGCCGCCATACTGCTGATGCTGAAAACAAAAACACGTTGGAAGATGAACTAACTAACAGTAACAGGATAACACTGTAAAACAAACTGTCAGTGCTTTTAGCCACTTTAAAACATGGTGCGCAACAAAGAATGACTTCAGAATGTCCACCATAAAATTGTAAAGCTAGTGTTTTGGTCACACAAAAGTAATTCAAAATTGTGAAAATATAGTAAAAGAAAATGGCACTAAAATCCAAGGGAATTGTCTATTTTTCCAACGTAAGAACTCCCTGCCAACAGATTTTCGTGCGGGCTGACAGCCATTGAATCACTCCGCTCACTCCCTCCCTTCCCTGTCTCTTACATAAGTGGAGTCGCTCACCGGCGAAATAAAGTAACCACAGCTGCAACGCATTCCTTTTGTCACAGGCGAAAATGCACAAAACAATTGCAGTTTATACAAATAACCTGAAGACACTCATTAGTAAACCTTTTCGTACTGAAATGTATCTGTGGTATAATCAAAATAATCCACTTTTAAAATCCTGTCATGTGTCTATTAAGATTCAACATTCTATAAACAACGTTCAAGATCCACAAGATGACGTATTTTTTATTTTACATAGGCTAGAAGATGGAAAAAGATTAGTATTTTCCTCTGATGGAGGCTATGCGGTTTAGTGTTTATTCCAGTGCGTACATGCAGACTACGCACTTCGCACTCTGTTTCAAAGTGCCTTCATTGCAGCAAATACAAGTCAAAAGTTATCATTTACAAACACCAGACGTGTTTGACTGTCAAAAATACGCAATCACAAATGTCATAATTTCTATAAACTCACCTCTCATGTCGGCGGTTGAGTCTAACCAACTCTTCGAGTCATACAACTCCAGGTGGACACGAAGCCAAGAAACAGTGAGAGCGACGCGCACTTATTTGCTCCAAACCGGAGCAGCTGAAAACTGTCACAACAGCAAATCCTCATATGGGTTTTCTACCTCTTCTTCACACGCGCCGACCTTAAAAATAATATTAAAAAGGCAGGCTTGTTTCTGTTATTTACTTTCTGTTCGCTCCGCGCAGTCTCAGAGGTGCTGTTGCGATAAACCACCTGTAAAATAATAAAACAGCAGCTCTTCTCCTCCTAGCTCTTTCCTGCTCAGCAGCTCGCTGTAACCTAGTTTCGGCGCGTGGACTACACATGATCCTCACCCCGCGGTCCGCCCGCCTCGTGCCCCGTGAGTTTACGCGCGCGCGCCACCCTCCGCGCGCTTTAAGGAGGCTCTCGCGTGCGTGGGAAAGTGTGGCAGTGTGTCAGTTCAGACGGAGAGCCACCCAGCGTGGGAACTACTTAACAACAAGCGCACAGTTTTAATTCCTAGCAGACCCCCCTTTCCTTTAATAAGCAGCAGCCAATGTTGTATTTTTCTTCCCTAAAGAAAAAAAAGTTTCTTTCTTTTTAGATATAGAAAATATTACAAAGAAGAGGTCCCAGTGAAAACTTATTGTATAGTAGGTTTATAAATATTTAAAGGGCCATACCTGTGTTTTGACACATTTTCATTCATTCATAAAAACACTATAAACTCATAAACCAGCTCAATCAAGTTTTCTTTTATTTTCTGTTAGTTATGGTTTCCCTAAGTTATAATCATGCAAGTGAAAGTACACAATATATAAGCAATTTAACTGCTGTACCTGAAAATGTGATTAAAATGTGTGAATTTTGTTACTGCATGATTTGTGTGATTTTGTTAGCCTACATACTGAAATTACTTTGATCACATTGAAGGGAGGAAACATGCATTTAATTAAATTCAATAATTTAATTAATAATTATTTTTATTACTTTTAGATGGTTGCATGGACACAATATGACATTTCCTTATCATATAGCACAGATAATGAAAGTGCACAGATAATGAAAGTGCATTTTGATTTTCCTAATTCCACCATGATGGTTTCAGTGTTATCTAAGATCACTTTAAAATACACACAATTCTGGCACTGTCATTAATAAATATGAAGCATGAAAATTCTAGCCAGAAATACAGTTTCTCCATATTAAGTAATATGAGCTAAATTTGCTGTGGTGATTATTTTTTGTGAATTAAATGACTATTGTGTCCTCAGGTTTCTTTTACCAACTAACTTGGTATTATGTCACTGGATTAACAAACACTAATCTTGGTGGAGGAATTAAATGTGACCACAGGTTGTTGTGCTGTGCTGTGTTGTATTTTGCTTTCCATTTGTAGCCTGAAGTCTATCTATCTATCTATCTATCTATGATCACCAGCTTCATCTTCATTCCTGTTGTTTCCCTTTGAAATGTGGGTATGTCAGAGAAAGAGCAGACACACCCTTTGCCACAGAAAGCAATCCCATTAATAACAGTGGCGATGAAATCAATTGATTTGCAGGCGGGCGTAAGATGACGAATGTATCATGTAACTTAGGCACAGTTATGAAATGAGGAGAAGAGAGAGATTATGGTTAAGTAGGTTAGTGGAGCAACACACAACTTTCACACCCCTCCCTCACTTGTCTTTCTGGTGTGCATGCGTGGTGAGTCTCCCCGTGTTTCTGTCTTTTTCCGCTGTGAAAGCCTTTGTCCTGAATCATTTCTAAGTCACAGCTCATACTTTTAGATACAGTCTCACAGCACCACCTTGCTTTATGTTCTTACCTCTCTCTATTGTTCCCCCTCATGTTTGTGGGTGTTTATCTATACTTTTCTATAGTTTCTTCAACTTGTGGAATTGCTCAAAAAAAAGATAAAAAAAAGAAAAAGAAAAAATTTTTTAGCATAAATGCAAAGCAATAATAAATTGCTTTTCCAGAATGCACAGTTTAAAAACACAATGCTGGGAAAAGTGCTGTAAGGGTGTTTTGCTTTATTATATTCAGTGGCTGTAAACTTCCTCTTCCTCCCATTTAGGTGGTTTTGTCAGTCTGATGGTTTCCTTCCTGATCCGCATCTGCCATTTTTCTTGGGTTATATTTTGTCTCTCAGTATGTCCCTCTGTCACCATGAAGTAGTCACACATCCATCCGGTGTTCGCCTGCAACATCACTGACCTCCTAACCCTGAATCTTATGTAACCATGGCAATACCCAAATTAGAACATGGAGCATGGAAAGAAGGAGGCGCTTAGGGCTTCACATACAGGCACGTAGCTCCCAACCAGATTTCCAGATTAAGGCAGATGGAATGAACGCGCCTGTCACTGTATGTGTGTATGTTTGTGCACATCTGTGCATGTGTACTCTGCGTGTGCTGGGACATAAATCTGACATAAATTAAAGAATCAAAACACCTCCATCTCTAAAGCAGAGGTAGTGACAGCAGGAAGTGCTTTGTGCACGTTCAAAAAGTGTGGCGCATGAATGCAGTGACAATTTAATTGCTCAAACTGGACTCTGTCCCACAGCGCATAAAGCCCAGTATACTGAGAGGATTATTTTGGGATCCAAGCTCTGGCTTCCATAATCCTCTCTCCTCTCCTATCCCTCATCCTGCTAAACCCTCTCTCTTCTCTCCTTTCAAATGCCCTCTAATCTCTCTCACTTCGTCTCTCTGTGTGGCTGTAATCTGGTTTGTGCCTATCTTTCACCTGCACCGGGTTCACATCAATAGGTCAGTGTGCCAAACTACAGGGTGTCTCTTCCTTCATCTCCTGTTACACTTGGTCATATCATTCCTGTCAACACCACAACCCAAGGGATGTCCTTTCTGGTGTTTGATTGGTGCTTGAAGGCCAATAGCAGTGCTGATTTCCTCAGGCAGAATTCACAGTATAGACCTTGACAGCAGCAGTTGACAAAATAATATTTCCACAAGGTTTAGTAGCTCTTCTGAAGATTTCAGTAGTACAAAATTTAGTTGTCCAGTTGTCATGGAACTGCCCTGTTATTTAGTTTAGTTAGTTCAGTTATTTATTTATTTATTGACATGTTGTGATGAATTATTTTTAATTCAAGGTCCAGTTAGAGAGTTTTCTGGCATTTCCAAATGTATCACACAGTCCTCCTCAGCTGTTTGAACATCAACAGCTTAGTAGCAACTGAGCAAACTCACTCTGCTGATGAGGACTGTGTGATACAACTAAATGCTTCACCACCAGCAAATGTTCCTTAAGCAAGACTATTGTCAGATGCTGTTTACATGTTCAAGAAAGCTGTCTGGCACGCAATTTTACACTGTATTTAAAATGTGGCTACACACCATAATTACTGCTGCTGATGTCTGAGTGGTAATCTCTTGGATCTCCAGGTACAAGATTTGTTAATCTGGGTTAATGTCACTTCAGTGGTGGACTGATTTTGTTTGCCACCGTCTCTCATTCATCCAGATGATGACAACAAAGAGTCTACAGCCAAGTCACATCAGCATACTAACAAGGCTCACAATGCTAACACTGTTTAGCATGTTCACCATCTTACTTTAGTGTGTTACCATGCTAACATTTGCTAATTATGGCACTAAATGAAAAGTCAGGGGATCAGCCAAGTCATTATAATTCATCCCGAGGGGAATATGAACATCTGCACCAAATTCCAGGCATTTCACAAAAAAGCAAAAATGATGACCTCATGGTGGTGCCAGAGGAAAAAGCAAAGGGCTGCCAAAATCAGAAGGATTCATCCTCTGGAGACAATGAATGTTTGTAAAAATTATTCATGGCAATCCATCTGATAGTTGTTGAGGTATTTTAGTCTGGACCAAGGTGGTGGACATACTGCCAAACTGACATTGTCATCCAGAGAGCCACAGTGTAACCTTGGCAAAAGCTCTTTTGCTCCTGCTTAAGTGATTTTGTAGACACATGCTCTCATTTAAAATAACCTTTAAACTGAAACTGCACTAATGCTGCTGCTTCTGTATTTTGCAGTTTACCCAAAACTTCATCAGCTGGAGCTATGCCTGTGGCAAGATAAACTAGATGTGACATGGGTAGCATGCCTCTAATGAGCTAAACAAACAAACAACAAAATGTAGTGCCCTTCAGTTCACTTTTGACTTGGTATTTGTCCTCCGTCAGCAGCTGTTGATACCAGATATGACTGAATTTATTGTCCTCAGGTGTGTATTAGCTTCACATCCTGTCATCGGAAATCATGCTGTTTATTTGGTCTTGATGGGCAATATTTAAACGATAGGCACCCAATTAAAGATGACATTTACCATGGTGTATCTGTCCGCGCTGCTTCCGCACACAGTGCTCGTCCTGTCGTCTGTCGATATTGCTCTGTCTTCATCTAGATCATATTGAATCTGACAGTCATGACAGGAAGGAGCGACCACAGGCATTTGCAGAGTTGTGACATGGGTTTGATAAAAGGATAGAAAAATAAACATCAATTTAGACAGCCTAATAGATAATACTGGGACCCAGAAGAGATTATAGGAGAGATTATGTCTGTGAGATAAAAACCAGATCTTAGAGGAATATTAAATAAGAATGGATCTGGACCAGGGATAGCAGCCTACTGGCACTCATATTTATCTTCTCAGGATGATATTACTGAGCCAGGTTGAGATGAGATTCAGTGTGACACACAGGCAACACTACAGCAAACTCAGTGTTTCTACCTTGTAACAACTGACACAGTCACAGGATTTTATAATGTTGACTCCAAACTTGATTATGAGTAAGTCCCTGCATTTCTCATCTGCTGTTATTTTTTTCCTGCCCTTCCCTTCATTGCTAATTAAGTTCTAATCCTCTCCACATTTCTATGGTTACACTGCATGTTGCCAGACTAAAGTCATCATTCATGTCTAGAGCCATGTAGACATTTGGGATATGGGGCCACATTGTATATGTGTGTGAGTCTGTGTGGATGCTATAGGGTGGAAATTCATTGTAGACTATCAGAAAATAAAAGGAAGATATGTGCATGTGAACATGGGCATGACCTAGTGTGTGTCCATTTTAACAGTCCGCTTCTTGCTCTGGAAATTGGAAAAAAGGCACACTGATCAGGACTAGCAAACCAAGCAGAGCTTGGCCAGTTAGAGCTAAAAAATGATAAGTGGAAGCTATATCTCTCCTTACATCTCAGAACAGTACTCTGTCCAATTAAGGATCTGATATTATCTGTTTGCATTCATTTTGTAATTTACTGGACACTTGTGGCGGTCGTAGGCTACCGTCTCT